AGATTTTTCTTATTTGAGAGAACATTTTGACGATATATGCGCTACCATTGATAGCTCGGATAGCTCGTTTATTGGAATTGACACTCAAAGCAATGCTATTTAACGTTTTCGAAATATTTAAAAAATAAATCAGTATAACTCCTTAGCATAAACTTTAAGCTGCAGCAAAGAATGAATCGAGTGAAGTGCATTGACATTTTCTGTACTTAACAGGGCCGTCAGATGGGGGGGGTGCGATGGGTGCGACCGCACCCCCCTTTGTCACCCCCCAAAATAAATTTAAAAAAAAGATTTTGAAAAAAAAATTGTTTTTTTTGTAATTTTTTTTCATTGATTCATACACTTTGAAAGTACCCAGAAAGCGCCAAATAGCATCTTAAAATTGTAAAATTTTCTAGGGGTATTGGCAACCCTTCACACCCCCACAAAACAGTGGAAAAGTTCTAAATTTATTTTAGAGTTTTGTCTCGGACACTTTTAAATTGCTCAGATATCATCAAATAGCTCCTTGATATAGTTAGTGTTTCTGGGGGACTTACTCCCCCTCTTGCATCTTGCACTTGCAAACCCCCCCCCCTCTGGCGCCCCCCCTTGACCCCCCCCCTTGACCCCCCCCCCCTCAAAAAAAATTGTGATTTTCTCAAATTCTTAAATTGACTCATACACTTTGAAGGTGCCCAGAAAGCACCAAATAGCGTCGTAAAATTGTAAGGTGAGTTGGCCTCCCCTCACACCCTAAACAAAACAATGGAAAAGTTCTGAATTTGTATCATGTATTGTCTCAGACACTTTTAAATTGCCCAGACATCATCAAATAGCTTCTTGATAAAGTTAATGATTCTGAAAGACTAACACTACGCGCCCTCTGGCATTCCCACTCCACCTCCCCCTCTGGCAGCCCCCCTCCCTTACCACCCTCCCCCCAAAAAAAAAAAAAATTGAGATTTTTCAAATTTTTTTATTGACTCATACCCTTTGAAAGTGCCCAGAAAGCACCAAATAGCATCTTAAAATTGTAAAATTTTCTTGGGAAATAGGTACTTTTAGGCACAGACACTTTTAAAGTGCCCAAACTTCATCGAATAGCACCTTGATATTGTAAATTTTGATATGGGGGACAAACAATTGCTCTCCCTCTGGCACCCCATCCCCACTTCCCCCTCTGACAACCTCCCCCCTTTGACACCCCCAAAATTTGAAAAAAAAATTATGATTGTTTTTCAATGCTTTTATTGACTAATACACTTTAAAAGTGCCCAGAAGCACCAAATACCATCTTTAAATTGTAAAATTTTCTAGGAGAGTTAGCCACCCCTCACATCCCCCACAAAACAAAAGAAAATATTCTGAATTTCATGTATTGTCTCAGACATTTTTTAAGTGCCCAGACATCTTCAAATAGCACCTTGATATTGTCAATGTTTCTGGGAGACAACGCCTTGCTCCCCTACTGGCACCCCACCCCACTTCACCCTCTCATCCTCTTTGACACCCCCAAAAGAATTTGAAAAAAAATCACACTTTTCTTATTGACTCATAACGCACAGGCGCACCAGATGGTTGCAAATTCGCTCCAAATACAACCAAATTTCACATTTTTCCTGGGGGAGAACCCCCAGACCCCCCTGAATGCTCAGTTTTTTATTCACTCAACTCTTATTCCCGTGGCGTTGACGTTTTACTTAGAAACTTACACCTTGAAAGTGCCCAGAAAGCACCAAATAGCTTTTCAAAACTGTAAAATTTTCTAGGGGGAGTGGACCACTCCTCACACCCCCCCACAAAACAATTGGAACGTTTGGAAGTTGCATGCATTTGTTAATTCCAAACCAATATAGGGAGTAACTGACCCCCCCCCCCCCCCTCTGTCTTACGCGATTTGATTTACGCGGCAAAAAAATGACAATTTTATATTCTCTTTAGTAAGCTAAAAACCGCACCCCCCTTGGAGAAAAGTGTCTTACGGGCCTGCTTAAAGATGACCTTAACAACATGTAGCTTAACTAAATATTGGTACAGTTAGACTTTTCTTTGCTGCAACTTTAATCATTCCATACCTTCGGCTGTATCATCAAGTTCCTTTATCAAACATTCAGATTGTACAGATTATCAGATATACATAGGCCTATATGCTTATCAGACATTCTTATTAGCTCATCATGTCATAGCCTAATATGAATAACTACATTTGGAATGTGTACACATGTACCATCATTGTACCTGTATATGATGTGATTGCTTTTGCCTGCATTGCAACAAATTTACCGCACAAATAGTGTACATGTAACATTTAATGTTATACTGTTGTAATCTGATCCTTTCTAAATGATGAACAAGGTATTGGTACTTTATTTGCTTGCATTCGACACTCACCAGAACACCCCCCCCCCACCCTATCAAAAGCTGGCTACACAACCCTGTAATGCGCATGGCCCACATTTGAATTCAACCACGGAAATTAAGCTTAGATTAGATCAATATTCCTATATAAAATAGACACTTATTTGGTTTATGTCTTGTACGTCGGATTCATCCATGTTGTCTTGCTCTGAAAGATAAATGACCAGTGTAGCGCTTTATGAACAATATGGTTATTCTTTTTAACTCTTACATATATAATCATGTATATCGTGTAAAACGTAATCGGTCGTATGTGACCAGAACGGTGGAAATAAGATCATTAAATGTAGACACTATCACAGAAAGAATAGTTGCCTCGTTGCAAGTCAAACATTGCCTCGTTTCATTGTTACAAAATGTAGACAGGTGCCTCGTTTCCTAAGTGAGAGAATTGAAATGTAAATATCTCAGCAATGTCTGTATTGATTTCTAATTTGCAATCATATTATAAAACCGGAACTTATAAACTATTTACTTACCAAATATTAAGTTTTAATTTGAAGGATAAAAGCATGAAAATTGTAAAAAAACAAAAATCTTACCGAATGAAATTTTTTCACGCGCCGCCATTTTGATACAAGGCAAAACCTCCCTCGTTTCCAGTTCATCCCCAGTGCATAGGATAATTTCTGATATGCTTAAGACCAAAAAACCTATAAAGTATGTTATTATTGAATACTGAGAATACATTGTTTTTACATTACGGAGCTTTATTTCTACCTGAAAGTATTTTGGAACATATCTCTTGCTTAAACATTTCATGCAGTGTTACTTTCAAAAACTTTCTTAGAACAATTAGTCCATCCTATACTTTCACATATTATTCTCCATTTCATTTTTTAAAAAATTGTGGGAGTTTTAAACTCTAGAAGAGCTTAATTACCAATTATACCATGCACACTCTTTGCCCTCCGTCGCATTTTTCTTAGGATGGCCAGGCATATTTCAAATTGAAGAGTAAAGTCAGTTAAAGTGATATATAGCTGTATGTAACAACGTATCTTTCACTTGATACTGTGATGTCAAGCTTAAGCATTCAAACAGTGTATTTTGTCCCAAGATACAATAAAGTACTGATTTCATTTATTTATCAATTCAGATGCCTTGGAATTAAAGTTAACACTTGGTATATATTACCAATATTATTTTTATACTTATTATTGGTGGTACAATGACCAGGTTTCCTTTAATGTCTTTGGTCTTACTGTGCAGTTTGTAAAAAGAAAATTCAGAAAGTTGCAGTCTTAGATGAAAAACTGGTGAAAATCATACTTGCTACAGCTTTTCCCATTTTTAGAAGCCAATAGATCTGTACTTCCACTTACTATGACGTTAAGTCTTCTCATATGTATAATTGGTGGTTCTAACTGGAGGCAGAATTAGAAATTATGTCATATAAAAGTAACATTTAAGAGATAAATTGTTCTGAATAGTACATCTTTCATATTTTTCACAATATCTGACAGTTTTTTTGTCCTTTTGGGTCTTTTTAAAAGTATATGCAGAATTGAATATTTGATCTAGAGCTCTGAAACTTCCAATATCAGAACTTGGTAGCATTATGTCTTGGTATCTTATGTTTGGGGTCTAAAAAAGTCACAGATGTTGAGAAAAATATTCATTAAGCAGCAGTTTCAGTTCAAAGTTAGTTAAAACTGCACTCACGACAGCTTTCTCTATTTTTGAACGCTGATAGATCGGTAAGTATTAGTATTAGGACCTTAAAACTGCTCATATTATGTAGTCTTTGTGGTACTTTCTCATTGCAAAGGTAATTTGGAAACACTGTGACTTACATTTCATGCGTTAGTGAACACTGAAAATGAAACAGCCTATTAGTTTATTTAGATTTCATCATGATACATTGTACACAATTGAAAACGTATATGTAAAATATGTAGAGTCCTATATTTTAGTAACAAATGAATTACAATGTCAAGTAACAAGTGAAAATGTTAAAAATGCATTGATTTGCTTTCTATCAATACAAGTTTTTAATTGTATGCTGCAAAATGATAACATTGACCACGCCCACTTTCCAGGGGTAGGGTACTATAAAGTCATATTAAAAATCATAAATAGTACATTATCATTATTATAATTGTATAACAATATCAAACAAAGCTTGAATTAGTTTTTAGAAAACAATTTTGAGCTATTTAAGCTGCCATCTTTTCCTGGAAGCTACAAATATAAGATACGTGAGACTTAAAAATGACTAAAATTGCATATTTTTTTCCTATTAATTGCAATATTTCTGAGACTAATACAGATATCAGCCTATAACTTTAGGATATTATTCATCTTTGGACTAGTAATGTGTGCTGTAGAAAGCAGAACAATAGCAACCATATCCTTTATGTTATGAAATAGTGTTATAGTACCCCCTGAAATCGCAGGAATTGAAGTCCAATTCGGCCGTGAAAATTGTTTTTACCACTTTAAAGGCCATCACCTTATATTTTCGTACACCTACTAGGTTACTCTAACATGCTGCATTGCCAAAAGTTACTTCTTGAAAACTTCCGGCAAAACTATGCCAGCATCTGATACAGAATATGTATTACCTACATCAACTACAATAGTTGCATTAAACTTACATTCTCTATTGGCGACAATCTTTCATCTTCTTCCTTTCGCCTTTCATCTTCTTTCCTTTGTCTGACTTTTTCTTCTTGTCGTTGTTTGTCTTCCTTCTCTCGCCTTTCCATGTTGATTTTTATATTAAGTGTGTTATCCTTTTTAGCTTTGGGAAGACAGAGACCTCTACTGCATGCCAATTCCTGATTTCTCTTAATGTTGTAAATCATTCATTGTGAGAATTCAAGCAATATAAAACGAAAAAGGGACAATAATAAAGATGACCTGCATAAAAGTAAATCTAAATTCTATAATCCATATCCAATCAATGAAATGTGTTTACAAATAAATGTTTATTCTTTCATATGTAAGTTATTTTGTAAGCATATATAAACATTTTTTTGTTCATTGTAATCAGTTACCCCAGACCAAACTGATTTTTCATTATGAATGATTATTTCGTAACATTTTACCTCTTTTGCATCTTCTTCAGCTAAAATTTCATCCTCTTTCACTCTTTCTTCATCTTCACTTTTCCATCTTGAATGTTCTTCACTCCGTCTTGCATCTTCAGTTGCCCGTTTTGTCCTCCTATCTTCTTTCAGTTTATCCAAAAATGTTATTACCTCTGGCATCCCTACAAAACTGACCTCCACCTAAAATCAAATAATGTTAAAGAAGACTGTCCAAACCTTTATATTACTAATGATGGATATTTGCATATAAAAACTATATTTGATGGGTTTCTGCATGAAATAGTTACTTTATAGATGGAATTTAAAAAGTCAACTGCATTAAGTGCATGGATACTAAATTTGGCACCATAATAAAATATAAACTTATAAATGCCAAAGGGAAAAGTTGTTTTCACAAAAGGAGAAATCACACACAAAAAGAAAGAACAAATGAAGCACTAAAGCAGGCTTGTAACATGGTATAGTATAGAAGTAGTACTAAATTTGGATGAGCATAAACAACAGTTATTTATGAGAGTGTAAAGTACATGCTTCTGCATTTCAAGCAAAGATAAAACAGGAAACCAATCTGCTTAAACACTGTTTCCTTACTCTGTCTGGTTCCCTTTCTCTGTCTGGGTTCTTTTTAATTTCTGAGCTAGTAGTAGTATCAGTAGAGGATTGTTTTTGAACAGCATCCTAGAACAAAATGATGAAATGAACAATGAGGCAGAATAGCCAGATCTACAAACAAAAGCTATAGATGCTATTGTTCTATAAACAAAAGCATTCATCAAATCTCTTGACACTCTCCTTCGCCTAGCCTTGCCCATGTCGGTGTTTTTTACTTATCTTAACTTACTTATCTTATTAACCTTTTTCTCCCATTGACTCCCATGTTAAAGCGAAATTCTATAGTGAACACCTACCAACTATGAACAGTGAACACTAAACCCTGGCAAAATCAATTGAATTATCCTGTCTCTAGTGAACATTGAATCAGATATAAGATTTCTCGCGGATTTTCTGCAACTGCCTTATCAGAGTTAAGCAGTTTATGTTTATATTACCTGCCAAAAATAATTAAAAGGTCAATTTGAGATCTTGATCTCTTCTATTGAAACAGGTGCGACTAATTATAATTCTTAATAAGCTTTGTTTTTGTTACAAAGGATATGCGTCTGGGATTGATTGCTAATCTGGTTAACTATTATTACCTCTATCTGCTAAGACCCAAATTAATCTTTTTTCTCATCCCGTCAATTTAAAAAAACGATTGGATCAAAATTATAATTCATGATCATTTCACTATTAACTGCATCTATCATGTCCTTTAACTAATTCAATAAAGTCCTTTAACTGACTCAAATGTCTCAAAAATTCCACTATTTAAAGGACCATCTTGATGAGATAAAAAGAATTATATAGAGATAAAAATTTGACAATAAAAGGATGAACCATTCAGATGACAGTCATACAGTCTAAAATAAGTCAGTTTGTATGTAGCATTACAACAAATTAAATACTTAACGCTTGAGTGTCATGGGTTAATATGGGTTGAAAATATAATTTAAATTTATTATTCAAATATGAATATGTTTTAATTCTTTTTAAGACTCATTTTAGTTTGATAAAATGTGCTGTTTTAACCAACATGGAATTGTGGATATTTTCCGATTAGATGCACCTTAATGTAAGAGTGCCACTGTTAAAAGAGTGTATATCTAAATAAATAAATAATTAATAAATAAATAAATATTCCCTCCTCTCTTTTAATAGCTGGTCTTTTTATACGAGGGGTGATCCAAAAGTCTTGGACGCCACGCTCTAACTTTGCTATTTTCTAATATAATTACATGAAACTTTCAGATAATAAAGATCAACATCTTAACAACTTTGTGTATAAGTTTCAACAGAAAATAATATATTTTAGCTACTTTTCTAAATAGTTTTTAATACCGGGTCGCAGCCACCCGGAACGGTATTTGAATATAATAAATCACGTCACAACTGTTATAATATGGCAAATACTTTAGGTGCAGGTGCATAACCTAACACCATTCATGATATGAGAGAATTTCCGATTTTCAATCTGAGTGTCATCTACCATCATCATTTTCACGTATTAAGACCTACTTTTCAACATATTTTCCACGAATTTGAACACATTTTTCATACCGCTTTACCAATGAATGAAAGACATTTATGAAACCGCCATTGCTTATGTGATACAAATGCTGCTGGAGTGCCACTCTAAACCTCATCCAATGAGTAAAAAACATTTTCTTCCAACCCTTCTTTCAACTTCAGAAATGGAAGAAAATCGCACAGAGCCATATCTAGACTATATCGTGCATATGGTAGCTGCTCAAGGTCAATAAAAGTGAGAATATCTTGTAGTATACTTTATTCCACTTTGATTTCTTTCATGTTCTCCATTTCAGCAGCCATCTTGGAGCAAAAATGATACCAGAATGAGGGTTGCTTGTCTGATGTCATTTTCTTAGAATTTGACATATACAGCCATTGTCATATATGCCATGATATTCAAAACACAATTAATTGATTGCCTAATAACAAAGGAAGTAAACTAACATGGTTTAACATTCAAAATTCAAAGAAAGATAGTGGTCAAGACTTGTGAAACAAGTGAAATGGCGGGAACATTTAAGGCTGAAAGTTGTCATGTGCGTATACCGTTCCGGGTGGCAGGGTCCCTACATTAAAAACTATCTAGAAAACTACATCAAATATATAATTTCTCCATGAAATTAACACACAAAGTAGTTTGGTTGTTGGTCTTTATTATTGGAAAGTTTAAAGTAATTTTATCAAAAACCAACAAAATTAGAGCAGGGCGTCCAAGACTTTTGGATCACCCCTCGTATAATACGGCAAAATGCCGCGAAATCAAATCATGGGTGTAGTGAACACCTACCAACAGTGAACATTTTTTCTTGGCAAAAAATTGTTCACTATACGCAGGTTTTACTGTATATCATTAGAAAGAGCATTCAATTCTGGATAAAATAAATCCTAGATGACCAGGGTCAGATATTGCTACAAAGTTTCATAAGCATTTGAAATGCACCAGTATAGTGCTATTTTTATTGATTTTTAAAAATTCCTGCATAGACCTTTTTGTTATTGGTGAATACCAGAGCAACAACTCTGACTTGAATGCTTCAATTCAAATTGAGCCCATATTAATGGATAAAACAGAGCTACTTATGGAAGTTGAAGCTGTAGAGAACAGATATTCCATAGATACCCTCCAGGAAAATCTCAAAAAGTATTGAGATCTCTGCTCAAGACATTGCTCTTTTCAATGCCCTTTTAACTTGATATCCAGCCTGACTGGCAGCCGTTTAAAGCTGCTGGGGATGGTCAAACTCTCTTTTAAAAGTTGGTTCAAATTATGTATTATTTTCTATCATCCATCTTCATCTTTTCACACTCTAAGAGCAATTAAATGCTCTTTCCAATGGTATATAGTATGTATGTATACCTCTTCTAGTTTATGCAAGGTATAGGGGGCACAACGCTATTTGACACCCTGTATGATTATGTTTGTGAATTCTCTCAGTATAATTACCAATTGTATGTTATCTAGGCCTCAGTATTTACATATAACATTTCATTATCTATTTGGTTAAAATCATGATAACCACATTGATTGTTTGTTGTTAGTCATATTTTTCTTGTTTAATGGTTGAACTCTGAAAAAATTAAACTTACTTTGACTGACTTGTTGATGTCAGTTGGATTGCTTGTTATGACAGTAGATACTTGCAAGGGATATTTTTGTGAGATATTCTGTAATTAAAATGGCAAAAACTCTATGACACTGTTTCTTTGTGAAGTTCTTTGTTTGTTGGCAATGCAGGGGGTTTGATATGTGTTCTAATTTGCTTTTTGTCTATTTGTTCTATTTTAGATTGTTTCTTTGAAATGTTTCAATATGAAACTTCCCTTTATGGCCACTAGTGCTTCATTTTTATTCTTATACAAATAGGGGAAACTTACCTTAGGTGCTTCATTGATGTCTGTTGATGATGTAACAGCAACAGTTGATGATGTAACTGCAACAGTTGATGATGTAACTGCAACAGTTGATGACTCATCTGATTGAACATTCTGAAGTAAAAAATACTGCCTATTAAACATTTTAGTCAGTTAACATTCAGCTGATTTATGATAGCACTATATCATACACCACTTATAAATGTATGAAGGCATATTTTGAAGGATGAAATAGTTTTCACTGTTAGGTTTTCAGAATTACATTATGCAAGGCAAGCAAACAGCAGTTAGAAAAAAATTCACATTTTCTATACTTTCCTTAATTTCATGATGATTGATGAATTCTATGTAGTGAAAGAAAACATTTACTTTTTCTGGTTCATTGATGTTTTCAGAACTAGAATCAGTGACAGGAGATTGTTGAATCAAATACTCTGGTGGAACATTCTAAAAATTAAATGAACAACAATAATTGAAATGCATTTATTGAAATACTGCTTTTAAATGATATAGCTAAGCAATAAGATACTTAGTCTGTACTTTATGGTGACATAAAGTACTAACAGTAGATCTTTGTTGAACAGTCTGAAGTTAAAATGACATAACACAAGTGTACAGTAGAATGCATATATATGCATAATAGTTTGGCAAACAGTCCGTCCTTTCAGAAAAACTTAGATGACACAATTTGTCCTATAATTCGAATATATCATTTGAAAGGTAAGAGCATAGATGCAACATTCAGAAGCATGTATTTGTCCTGATGGAGGAGGACACTTACTTTAGGTAGGTCATGGATCTTTTTAGAACTAGAAGATCTTTCTCCTTGCAGGACAGTCTGGGAAAAAAAGAGACATAAAATATCTGTACAGTAAAATGCAATGAAGACTATTGCTTATGCAATCCATTATTGATTTCACCTGTATTCGATCAGATGCATTTAAAAAATATTTTGAAGTACAAGAAATAAAAGACTTTTTCTGGTTCATTGATATTTTCAGAACCAAGAATCAGTGACAGAAGATTGTTGAATAAAATGCTCTGGTGGAACATTATAAAAATTAAATGAACAACAATAATTGAAATGCATTTATTGAAATACTGCTTTTAATTGTTTAACTAATAAATATAGAGGGTGGGCCAAAAAAACGCCACTTTTTCAAAATACTATAACTATGAATTGGACACTTTTACTTGAAAAAATATGTCATCAGCATCTTACTTAAACATGTGGTGCACCATGAGAAATGAACAATATTTGCATAATGTACCCAAACTGATACAGCCTGATGACCACCGAGCTATAGTCCTGATGTAAACCCCAGTCAGTATAGTGTTCAGGAAGGTTCAGCGTGGCGACTTAGACTTAAAGCTATCATTAAGGAGGGTGGTGGACCAATTGAACTCCTCTTTTAGATCAAATACAATCTGGGTTGAAGGACTTGTTACATTATTTTATTACATATGACCCCTTGCACTGTATAACTGCAAAATTTGGTGTATGTAGGTTGAAAAATGAGAAAGTAATAGTGTCTTGGAAAAAAGGTGGCGTTTTTGCCCACCCTGCATATATGATAAAGTACTAATATAGTTAAGCAACAAAAATCCTTAGTCCTTCATTTATGGTGAGATAAATGACAGAATGTGTCTTATAGTTCTAAAGTCCTTAAGTGTAAGAGTCAGAAGTAAATGTTAGTCCTGCTTGGGTAGAACACTTACTTTAGGTAGTTCAGTGATCTTTCTAGAACTAGAAGAACTGTCAGTAGATCTTTGTCCTTGTGGTACAGTCTGAAGTAAAGACATCTTTACAGTAGAATGCAATATATAAAGTTGCTTATGCGAAATTCACCATCCCTGTATTCATTAAGAAAAATTTAAGAAAATATTTTGCCCTGAATGCAAGGGAATATTTACTTTTGCTGGTTCATTGATGTTTTCAGAACTGGAATCAGTGACAGGAGATTGTTGAATGAAATGTTCAGGTGGACCACTCTAAAATCAAATGAATAAAATCATAGAAATGCATTTGTTGAAATTTTAAATTTAATTCTTTATAGCTAATAAATGCATACTGAGATAGTACTTATATAGTTGAGCAAGAAAGATCTGTCTGTAAAGGTTAAATAGATGACAAAAGTCGTTCTAAAGTTTGAATACATCATGTCATAGCAATGAAAAAGTCTGAAGAATGTATTAGTCCAGCTTGAGGAGAACACTTACTTTGGGTAGTTCATTGGTATTTTGAGAGCTAGAAGCATTGTCAGTACATCTTTGTCTTTGTGGTACAGTCTGAAATAAAAATGACATGTACAAGTGGGAAGTGCACAGTAGAATGAAACACAGACTATTACTTATGCGGAACATTATTGAGTCAGACTGTATTCAGTCAGAATAAATATATTGCCCTGTACTTCAAAAAATATTACTTTGGCTGTTTCCTTGATGCTTTCAGAACTAGGATCAGTGACAGAAGATTTATGAACCAAATGCTCATTTACTTGAACATCGATGATTGTAGAACCAGTAATACCAACAGTAGATTCTTGTAGAATATTCTGAAATGATAATTAGTTAAGAGTATAGTTTAATGCAAAATACACTGACTCTTTTGAATATTGATGAGGTGCATCTAAAATAAAGGATCATACTTTTCAATTCTAGTGCATTGATGCTATCTGATTTACGAAAACTGACATTGGATATTTCAGTTAAGTCCTCTGAGGGAACAGTTTTAAAAGGCTTTATGTGTAATATTCTTATGTAAGGTACATGTATAGTGTTGGTAAATGTGTGTAACAGCTAATTCCTAAAATATCTTTAACTTGGACTTTTTATTAATATTTAAGGAATTAAGACCCCAATTCAATGATTTAAAGTACAATGTATGATCAAAATCACATAGCATTTGAGGTCTTTAGGAATGGCTAGAATAAAATCTAATGTCATATATTTGTCAAAAATTTTGTCTCAAGTTTAGTGGTCATACAAACTCGATTATAGTTTTACTTTATTCAAAATGCAAATTAAAATTTGAAATAAAAGCATGACATTATGTTACTTTGGATGATCTTTTTACAAGTCATTGTCGACCATTTTATAATGAACTTTCATTTCTCTATTTTATAAATGAGCCTATAATAACCCTACCTGCTTACTAGGACGATCTGGAAGTGGATCTTTGAAAGCAACTTCTGCATCTTCCTCAATGTCACCCTCCTCCTAAAATTAAATATACACGCACTGTATACTGTATCTGCACTCTTTTAACTTGTTTTTGGTAATTTTTTATTCAGTTGTAAAAACATTTTCTTTTGTATCCATTTATTTTTATGAGATTATCTTTATTGCTATTTATCTTTATGGCTAAATTACTGTATTTAAGATAAAGGTATTACCACTGTTAGAAATGACACTTTCTTTGGCTTGCTATTTGCTGATATAGTGGTAGTAGCCACTGACTGAATGGAGCGACTGGGGTGAATTTGCTGAAGTTAAATGAAAAAACAAGTAAACTGTAGGTTAATTCATTGTGCAGACAGAGCAATGTTCAGTTTTAACATTCACAGAGGTTGAAGCAAGGTAAGTGAATGTTCCTCCAAAGTTTAACACAATTTTAAAGATTATTTTTGACATTTGAAAGGGTTACAAGTTAATTAGGCTGTTTTTAAACACTCCTATTGACATTATTTAGTTTTCATTTTGAGTGTAAATGAATGTAGATAAGTCACAAACTTAGTCATGAATTAATTATCAACTATAACATTTACACAACACTTACTGTGAGGGTCTCCTTGGTGTCTTTAGGTCTAGCTGGAGTCAAAGATGATTTAACAGTTTGGTCTGGATGAACTTCCTTAAATATAATTATGAGTATTGTAAGAGGCCGAATTGATAACCTAAATTTCCAGTTTTTAGAATTCCAGGTCAATAAAAGTACCAATATGTATTAATCCAAATATGTAAGCTCAATTGCCAATGGAAAAACACCAAAAATGGTTACAGAACACAGTCGGAAAAAAGAAAATATCTTAAGAGTACACCAGTCATTAGGAAAATAAACCCCAATTATCCAAAATCACAATCCAACATGAAATGAAGCAGTGTCTAATTCCCCCTCCCCCAATACCAATATCACAATCCAAGACCATAACAGGAAGGACCATACTGAACATACTGATACATTCATTAATATACTGAAGTTATTACAATACATGTTGATAAATAAATTTAAAATTGATAGCCAGGCCAGTACTCAAAACATCAAGATTAGCTGTAGATACAAGTATTCACACAAGATCAGATAGAGCATCAGTCTCAAATGATGTGGGACAGACAGAATCCATTCTAGAAGGCCATAAACATATCAAAGGATCAACATCCATCTGCAAAGTCACCATCATAATTCATAAAACACAATATTTTTTGATAGGTCTTTTGGTGGTGTTTAGCTTCATATAGGCCAATGAAAGTGTGACTCTGGTCTTCAACTCATTAGCATTATTGAGTATACCAGGTATATGGATCTTCACTTTTAGTGAATACAGTTTGCCAATGTTTGAGAACTGGCATTACAACCAATTCACAAAATAGTTATGATATATAGCATAAAGTATCAAGAACAAAAAATTAGAAATGACTTCTTACTGTATGGATGCTAACTGTTGCTGGTTTTCTGATGTTTGATGAGCTACTAGCAGTGTCTTTGGCTGATTGAACCTGTTGACCATGGGGAGCATTCTGAAATTAAATTATACATTTTAGAAACAATTGTAATTTTTTTTAAATTTCTTTCACTGTTAATAAAGAAACTCAGGTGTAAAATGGCTGTTGATACCCTAACAAACAAGAGATGTTGAGACTTTTTCTTCATTAGGTCACCTATAAAGGTTATTAATTTTGTACTATTCCTGATATCAGATGAACTTTCCCATAGTCTCCAATAGAAACTCCAATAGAAAATAAATAATGCTTTGAAAACAGAGAAACCTGTACTATAAGGTCATATACTAAGAGCTGATATGAACATGTCTGAAATCAAATCAAAGATTTCCCATGTATAGGTGTTAAAGCTAAACATCAAAATAAATGAACATAAATCAAATCACTTTGAGTGATATCATTTTACCACAAGTTGATATCAAACATGTCAAATATCAAATGAGTGAGCGAAGCAAATTAGTGTTGATATCTGAATTCTAAGAAGTAATAAAATGAAATCATTGGGAATGAGTTGTTATTGAGTATTTATTTATATAAAATATATTTCAGGTTTCATGATTTATAGCAAGTGCTGAGTGGGGAATCTAAGCATTGCATTTGTATATTTTATGATGGAAATAAACCCTATCTACCCTCATTGCATTCATTCATTTATTTCTAAATGAAAATAGAATGTATTAGAATAGTGTAATATCATAAATTGAAATGCGATCATGCATTCCTCGTGTAACTTACCTTTAACAGCTGCTTATTTTCTTTTTCCATAAGGCATTCATGATTACAAGTGGGGCAGTTGAAAACCCCTTTATGTTTGCCTTCCTTGCGTAGATCATAGAAACACTTTGGGCAACATGCATGCTTACAAGGCAGTGCTGTTGGGTGTGTTAGAAGTCCACTGCATAATACACATGTTGGTCCAACCTTCACATATCCTTCAGTTGCCATTTCAGACCCGATTGTTCCATTGGTTTTTAGTTATAGTTAATTTATTTGTCTGAGTAACTCAAAAGACATAAAGTAATCACCTAACATGAAAGTTAAGCAACTGATTAATACAAACCAACATCTGTTATCTTGTCAATTTAATTTATTTGACTTTCACTATAAGTTTGGTCCAACCTTAACATATCCTTCAGTTGCCATTTCAGAATTATTTTTTCCATTTGTTTTTAGAAGACATAATGTAATCACGTAACATGAAAGTTTAGCGTCTGATCTCAACAAGAAATCAACATTTGTTATCTTATAATTCAAAACTGACAATTTAATGAATTTGACTTTCACCATAAGAATAATTTGTAATCATAAAACATAACAGTTTAGAGGACTTTTGTAAATTGAGAATTCATAGTAACAATCCTTTATTTGATTTTCGTAAACATTCTAATTTTAAAACATACGTGAGATAAAGTTTTTAATATTTCTTGATAATACATGTATATTATTGATTTAAGTTTTAGTACAAAAAACATAATGCCTGGTGTTCTTGGTGATATAAGTATATTAATTTTCACTTTAGGTTGAGTGTTTACGCTGCAAATCAGATAGGGACTATGACATACTGATTGACAATTACATTGCCATACTTCTACAATGGGCAACAGTTTCATTGCAAGCTTGTCTGAACGTATTGTTAAGAATGAACCTTATGTAGAAGTTGCTAGTGTATTTTCCTGAAAATATTGATATTTTTATATTCAAAATATGTCACTCCCACACTAGCCTGATGCATATAACATTAACAAGATTTGAATCTCAATTGGGATTTTCTTGTTATTTAGTCTGCTGAAGATAATGGGGCTACAGCAGGACAATCGAGAATTCTAGGCCCAAGTAGAAGTGGGGAATACCACAAGTATATGTCTATGTTCGTACTGTTCTATATTACCACACAGTGTATTCTGCCCTATTCACATGGCATAACTAAGGTAAGACTGTTATTTCCACGTTAAATTTTTTTTTTGTTGATATAAATTATGTTTTTGTTTTTTTTAATTTTCTTTCAAAAAGTGTTTTCTGGTAAACCTTCATAATTCTTAAATGTTTTGAACTTTTGCATCACCTCCACAATTGGTGACATATTTTTATAGTCTCCATATTTTGTATTTGGCAAATGGCGGTTGGCATGTGTAACACATACATGTGAAGCATATATATGAACTATCTATTGTTCATACAATTTAGGGCTACAATAATTGGACAAATGGTCTCTATGGTTACTCCTGGGATATGATGGTGCATAGTTGGAGGAACCAACACATCAGATTGACATATGTGGACAATTCTAATGGAGAGGTTGGATACCTTAAACCTGATGTAAGAAATGCCAATTAGTTTGCCCTGTTAACTTCTTTAATTTTGCATACGATTTAATTTGGTGATTTTTTAAAATTTTGCACAAGATCAAGAATTTGAATGTATTTGTCTTGTAAAACATAATTTTAGGTTAAGGCCTCGGAATGTTGGCCAGTTCTTTGTAAACTGTGTCTTATAAAAACTGTCTAAAGTTTGTAACCTTAACAATGTTTTTTCTTCACTTTCAGGGGTGGACAACCACGAAGCGCTGGAGTTCACATGGTGACATGTTAAAACAGTATGCAATGTGTATTCAAGAGAAGATGACACAATATGACCTTAATAATGTTTCATTATATTTTGACATTTGGAGGTCAATGAATGGTCGATTTCAACAAAGGTAAATTCTTTATTGTACAATCTGGATGTTTAGCAATCTAATTTTCTAGCTTTTATTTAGTACTCACTCTTTTTGAATATCCAACAATTGGGATCCTGAACAATCTTTATATTTCATACCAACATTCAACAATAGGCTTCTTGAGAATATAATATTCATATCTTCATAAAGATATTTTGGGAACCATTTGCTGTACTGTTCGTCCTCCTTCAACATTAGCCTACTGTATTTTGAATATCTTCTGAATATATTGGACAAAATGTGGATAATAATAATGTATGAATGTATGTATGTATTTTGAATATCATCTGGATTTCCTTAAAGTTTTTAGTCAACCTTCCCTTTTGACATTTGTGCTTATATATTCTCCCATTTTACATAAAATCCTATACTTTGGTGAAACATTGATAGTTAAATTGCACAAGTTCTTTTGCAGAATGTTTGACCCCCGGGTTGACATGGTAACAGCCCAGTGGCATCCTCTCATGGACACATCATACTTGATGCCCATGTTGGCAGACTTGTCGGACTGGAGAGGAAAACTGAAGGAAATTGAGGATTCACTCATTGAGAAGACCAATGATACAGATGTAGTCTTTGTAGCTGATTTTCCTGGTAAGTTTGTCAAATGTATTTTAGTATCACAAAAGGCTTTTATTATGTCCCCACCACATAGTGTGGGGCCATATTGTCGGCCTAGGCGCGTCCGTCTGTCCGTCCGTCTGTCCGTCCGTCTGTCTGTCCGTCCGTACGTCCGGGAGTTTTCTCCAAAACCGCTACAGATATCACCTTCAAATTTTCAGGGATAACTTATGAGTGCCTATAGATGTGGATGAAAAAAATTTAACTCGAAACCTACTTCCTGTCGGCCATTTTGAAGTCAAATGCTAAAATCCTTGTCTGCAAACTTTAAGAAAAACTGCTTCACAGTTGCTTTTAAAACTTTAACATCTTGTTCAGCTCACTTCATTCTAGATCTGATTAGGTTTTGGACCTGCTAGCTCAGTCGTGTCAGCCATTTTGAATGTCCTAAGAAAAGTTAGCGCGCGATAATACTTTGTATCATATTGAATGGTGTTTTTGAGTTTTCATACTTTAACTATTTAGTAGCTTTATAAATAATTTCAGATGCACTTTGTTGTAAAAGCCTACTTTATTGTTAACAGTAGTTATATGTGATAATTTTGTAAAAAGAAATCAGCAAAAACTCATAAGGACTTTTTTATTGTCGGCCATTTTGGATTTTTCGGTCCTAAAATCTTGTCTGTGAAGTCTTGTCTGCGCGTTTTCAGGTGAACCGTTTGGTGGATCAATTTCAAATTTTCAGGGATGATTCTTAGTATAAAAATCTAGATCTCATTAGTTTTTTGGCATTCTGGGTAAATGCCAAGGCAGCCATTTTGGATTTTCCGTCCTAAAATCTTGTCTGTGAAGTCTTGTCTGCGTGTTTTCAGGTGAACCATTTGGTGGATCAATTTCAAATTTTCAGGGATGATTCTTAGTATAAAAATCTAGATCTCATTAGTTTTTTGGCATTCTGGGTAAATGTCAAGGCAGCCATTTTGGATTTTCCGTCCTAAAATCTTGTCTGTAAAGTCTTGTCTACTCGTTTTCAGGTGAACTGTATGGTAGATCAATTTCAAATTTTCAGGAATGATTCTTAGTATGAAAATCTAGAACTGATTAGTTTTTTTGCATTCTGGGTAAATGTCAAGGCAGCCATTTTGGATTTTCCGTCTTAAAATCTTGCCTGTAAAGTCTTGTCTAAGCGTTCTTAGGTGAACGGTTTGATAGATCAATTTCAAATTTTCAGGGATGATTCTTCATATGAAAATCTACATCTGATTAGTTTTTTTGCATTCTGTGTAAATGTTAAGGCAGCCATTTTGGATTTTCTGTCCTAAAATCTTGTCTGTAAAGTCTTGTCTACCCGTTTTCGGGTGAACCGTTTGGTAGATCAATTTCATATTTTCAGGGATGATTCTTAGTATGAAAATCTACAAACAGATTAGTTTTTTGACATTCTGGGTAAATGTCAAGGCAGCCATTTTGGATTTTCCATCCTGAAATTTTGTCTGTAAAGTCTTGTTTACATGTTTTCTGGTTAACTGTGTGACGGATCAATTTCAAATTTTCAGGGGTGGTTCTTAGTATGAAAATCTAGAACTGACTAAATTTTTGGCATTCTGGGTAAATTTTAAGGTGGCCACTTTGGATTTTCCGTCCTCAAATTGTGTTGGTAAAGTCTTGTCTACTCATTTTCAGGATAACCATTTCACGGGATCACCACTTGGTGGGGACATATTGTACACATTTGTGTTCTTGTTTTCCTTTAGACTAATCGAAATATTGGATGATGATCATAATCTTCCTTTGACAAAAGGAAAATGGAAAATCTCAAAGGACAATTTTTACATTCATAGATTCTTTGAATAAGGGTCATACTTATTAACTTACAGTACTTTATATGTGTGTTTCACAAGAATATTGCAATAAGGATTTCCTGTGAACTAATACAGATAGATGGCTTCTTCTGCAAGGTGTTAACATTTATTACAGTTCTATTTACATTTCTGTTGACAGGTCTTTATCTTGAGAACTATGTTCAACCTGATCTTGGCAATACGAGTATAACAGTGCTACATGGAGAGGTCAAGGTCACTTTGGTGGATGACAACAACAGAAATGTAACACTTACAGTCAATCAGAGTATGCAGGTAAGGTTTTTGAAATAATCTATACGGATTTAAAATTGTTATGAGTGTAGTGTTCACATCCATTCATTTTTAATTAAAATAAGATTTATTTTGGATTTTAAATCTTCTCAAAAACTGTTAATTATGCAGCACATCAGAATATAGTAGTAAAAAACACATGAATGTTTTTAATGATAAATTGAACTTTGGTGACACTCTTTTACCATACAGTAAACATACCCTTAAACAAACACTTACTTTGACCACTTGTGGTTTCATGCTTCCTTTGCAATGATCTGGCTTGTATAAGTGTGATTGAGGTCACCTGTTTAGACATTCTTAAAAGTTTGCCAACTAGTGTTATTTCTTGCAAAGTTCAAAGGAACTTCTACCATAATAGTTTCTCATCATGACTGCAAATATGGCAAAGTGTTGCTTGAACTATGGAGGAGCAGGACATCGAATTAGATATGGTTTAGATTATTTGTCTTTTAAAGTTGTACAGAGTATGCTTTCATTTCAGCTACCTGCAGATGCATACCATCTTGTGACAACAGTCTCAGACACTCCTAGCTGTTATATGTACATATTTGTTAATACTACAGAGAACCAGTATATCAAAAATGTTACCAAGTTTGAGGATGAACTTAGTGAAGGGAGAGAAGATTTCAATCTAACAGGCATGTGTTTTATTTAATGGTTTAGTGGGTTTAGTTATTTGTTTTATGAATTTAAACCCACATAGACACATATCATTACTTCAGAATGAGACATTTTAGATATCAAGCAATATCTAATCGAAATTGCCCTATTCTTTGTTCTGAGTTTGTTATTGATTTTGAAAATCCAAAGAGAATGAATATAAAACATTAATTATATGTACATATTAATATTGTTGATGTAGCTGCTCTTGACGAAGCAGAAGTAGAAGCAAGAAAGACTGATGACCAACTTACACTTGCTTATTGTGCTACTATACGAGAGCGGGAGGGTTTCATACAAAAAGCACAGAAATCAACACTGCAGAATATATGGCTGGCTACTAAAGAGTTCTGGCTCAAAAAATATTTTACTTTTACAAGAAGGTATGTGTTTAAGTATCAAGCTTGGTATGCAGTTGAACAAATTTCAAGGGATATAAAGGACTCTTTCCCTCAGAATGATAAATCAAATACCATTTTTCTGATATTTTCACATTTCTCTATGCATTTGCTATATGCATATAGTTTTTCTCTGATTTTTTAAAGAAAAGTTCATCTGCACATGTCCACATTGTTCCCTAGAAGTGTTTTATTTTTCGCACAATTGACTTTTCATATGTTTACCTCTGTACATGTTTATTATGCATTTCATATAAGGAGAAGATACTACCTTGGAATATGTCATATCTGTGGAATAGATTATTCATACTGCGTAAGCCATGGAACCTTTATTCAGTTGTCATGAGACATCCCCTCATTCAAACCTCCATGTACATTCAACATATATTTACATTGCAGCATTCAGATGACATGAGACATCCCATCACTCAAACCTCCATGAACATACAACATATATTTACATACAGCATTCAGATGACATGAGACATCCCATCACTCAAATCTCCATGTACATACAACATATATTTACATTGCAGCATTCAGACGACATGCGACATCTCATCACTCAAACCTGCATGTACATACAACATATATTTACATTGCAGCATTCAGATGACACGAGACATTCCCTCATTCAAACCTCTATGTACATACAACATATATTTACATTGCAGCATTCAGATGACATGAGACATCCCATCATTCAAACCTTTGTTTACATACAACATATATTTACATTGCAGCATTCAGATGACATGAGACATCCCCTCATTCAAGCCTCCATGTACACACAACATATATTTACATTGCAGCATTCAGATGACACGAGACATTCCCTCATTCAAACCTCTATGTACATACAACATATATTTACATTGCAGCATTCAGATGACATGAGACATCCCATCACTCAAACCTCCATGTACATACAACATATATTTACATTGCAGCATTCAGATGACATGAGACATCCCCTCATTCAAACCTGCATGTACATACAACATATATTTACATTGCAGCATTCAGATGACATGGGACATCCCATCACTCAAACCTCCATGTACATACAACATATATTTACATTGCAGCATTCAGATGACATGAGACATCCCCTCATTCAAACCTGCATGTACATACAACATATATTTACATTGCAGCATTCAGATGACATGGGACATCCCATCACTCAAACCTGCATGTACATACAACATATATTTACATTGCAGCATTCAGATGACATGAGACATCTCATCACTCAAACTTCCATGTACATACAATATATATTTACATTGCAGCATTCAGATGACATGATACATCCCCTCATTCAAACCTCCATGTACATACAACATATATTTACATTGCAGCATTCAGATGACATGAGACATTCCCTCACTCAAACCTCCATGTACATACAACATATATTTACATTGCAGCATTCAGATGACATGAGACATTCCCTCACTCAAACCTGCATGTACATACAACATATATTTACATTGCAGCGTTCAGATGACATGGGGCATCCCATCATTCAAACCTGCATGTACATACAACATATATTTACATTGCAGCATTCAGATGACATGAGACATCCCCTCATTCAAACCTGCATGTACATACAACATATATTTACATTGTAGCATTCAGATGACATGAGACATCTCATCACTCAAACCTCCATGTACATACAACTATATTTACATTGTAGCATTCAGATGACATGAGACATCTCATCACTCAAACCTCCATGTACATACAACATATATTTACATTGCAGCATTCAGATGACATGAGACATCTCATCACTCAAACCTCCATGTACATACAACATATATTTACATTGCAGCATTCAGATGACATGAGACATCCCCTCATTCAAACCTCCATGTACATACAACATATATTTACATTGCAGCATTCAGATGACATGAGACATCTCATCACTCAAACCTCCATGTACATACAACATATATTTACATTGCAGCATTCAGATGACATGAGACATCCCCTCATATAAACCTCCATGTACATACAACATATATTTACATTGTAGCATTCAGATGACATGAGACATCTCATCACTCAAACCTCCATGTACATACAACATATATTTACATTGCAGCATTCAGATGACATGAGACATCCCCTCATTCAAACCTCCATGTACATACAACATATATTTACATTGCAGCATTCAGATGACATGGATTGCAATTAGAAGCATATTTAATGGAACAACATTTGAGTACACCCAAGACATTTTAATGCCAAATGATTTTATAATGGAGTCGAGCATTGATTATACTACATAGTTGAAACCCAAGATATTACTACCACAAAGGACAACATTTGAGTACACCCAAGACATTTTAATGCCAAATGATTTTATAATGGAGTCGAGCATTGATTATACTACATAGTTGAAACCCAAGATATTACTACCACAAAGGACAACATTTGAGTACACCCAAGACATTTTAATGCCAGATGATTTTATAATGGAGTCCAGTATTGAATATACTACATAATTAAAATAAACAATGTAACTGCCAAAACTGGCCATTTGACTATTTAGTATTAATGCTATCCAAGGATGTAACCTTGAACTTACAACAGGTGAGGCAATTGTCTTTAGGTGATGCAATTGTCAATATGTGAGACAATTGTCAATAGGTGAGGCAATAGTCAATATGTTAGGCAATTGTCAATATGTGAGGGAAATGTCAATATGTGAGGCAAATGTCAATATGTGATGCAATTGTCAATAAGTGATGCAATTGTCAATATGTGAGGCAATTGTCAATATGTGAGGGAAATGTCAATATGTGAGGCAATTGTCAATAGGGGAGGCAAATGTAAAAGGGTCAGGAAAATTAAGTTTCCATGTGATTAGTACTATTTGGCCAGTGACTTAACTTCCAAAATATTCATTGAAAGATTATTTCTTAAAAATAATATAATGACATTTTTATTTTAAATTCTTCTATATTTACCACAAACATATGGCAACCAATTCCCCCATTGTATTGCGTATGATAAGCAATTGTCAGTCATTTCATGTTATCTATATATGATAATTAATTGATCAGAGCCAGCTAGCTTAATGCTGTGTGACTACCGCAATGCTGTTTATGTAAATCTTATGTATAACATATCACAAATCATTTTCCTCCAAGATAATTCTAAATGGTGTGTGATTGTATGTAAACTGGAACTAATTTGCTTATATAAGCCTTGTAAAAAATCCAAATAGCGCTAAGGGATTATCTTTTAATAGATTGAATAATTATATATAGTTCTATCTATTATATAATGACCAAGGAGAAACAATACCAATGAATCTAATCTGAACATTTCAAGACTTTCTAACAAAAAGGGTTAAACATGTATTTATTCATGCATACATAATATATTTCAGGAAAAGCCATCACAAAATTTTAATCTTAATTCAGTAACTTCATTGTAAAGCAGATGCAGCTGAACACCATATAAGATCTTATAAATATAGTTTTGGATATATGTATTTACATAGATCTGACTTTTTATACAAGTATATATCTACATGTAACAATATGTGTGCTTTGCCATAATAATATACACCAGAGAAACAATCGAGTTAAAGGTTATGTACTTTTGACTACATCATTTGAATTTGACAAGGCCAAACAAATCATAGGCATTACCACTGGTCCCCACTTGTTATAAAGATGTCACATCTTTATAACAAAATGGATAAATTTCCGTTAAACAAAGAAGTTTATTTGTATCCAAATATTTTACCCGTGTGTTACAGTAACTCAGGTTACTGAAAAGCTTGTCAGTCATTTGAAAATATATCCAGCAGCTCGAATAATCGAGTGAAAATTTGCCTGGAATTCTCTCATTTCAGCCAGAAGGACTTCATCTGGTGACTTTCATAATATCTTGGTTACGCTGTGTTGAACGTTAACAATGCAAGCAAATGTACTGGTTGCCAAAGTGAGGGGTTTCTTACTTGATTATTGGAGCTCTTGGATGGGGTCCTAACTGATATGCTTTTCAGTAACCAAATGTTTTCATTAACATAGAGATAAAAATCAACTCCTTCTTGGTATAAATTATGACAATAAAAGGTTTCCTCCTATGGAACTTTATCCATTTTGCTATACGACAGAACATCTTTAAAACCAGGTTGGGACCAGTGATAAGGTGTAATGGATTTTGAGAAATATCGTTTTGCAAATTGTATACGTTTAGAATGGATTGTACATTAGATGGATCAATAAAGTGGCTTATGAAGACATATGTGTGTCTTATTGCTTCAAATGCATGTTGAGTTGGCATCTAAAATTAGTTTTGTAAAGATGTTGTAATTAAAAAATATAATGAATCACCACATATTGCTACAACCACTGATTTGTATCTGGCATTTGGTCTAACAATTTAGCATTTGGCATCTGTAACAAACGTTGACATTATGTGGAACATATGCCTTGTTAACTGTCGCCAGTACATATTATCTGTGTAGTGGCTAAAGTGTTTCACTACAATTTCAATCAAATATCAATTCTTGCAAGGCATTTATATCAAAACTGTAAGCATTCCATAAGTAATATAAGTAAATGATTACTTTGTTTGTGCAGTTTAGTGTATTCTCTTATATCTTATTTACCAAATATGTTTTATGTCTCCATATTTGAAAACCAAATATGTACACATACCCCACTTTATATTTTAATAAAAAACATTCCAATTTTAGAAGAAAATAATGCAAATAGATTGCAAAGCTTTTGTAATTATAATCCTTGCAAACTATTGTAATATCTTATGTCATATATGATAAGGCAAATATATTGCAAAGCTTTTTAAATTATAATCATTGCAAACTTTTGTAATATCTTATGTCATATATAATAAGGCAAATGGATTGCAAAGCTTTTGTAATTATAATCCTTGCAAACTATTGTAATATCTTATGTCATATTTATTGATGTTCATGAATATTTAAGAGAGAATCAGATATAGCGAGCAGGCTAAACAAATAATTGTTTCAATTTTAGAATATTTTTGGCTCATGTCATTCCTTGTCATGTCTATTTTCTAAAAATCACAAAAGTGCATACTTAATTCCAGGAAAACTAAAGATTTTTACAATAATGTATTATTTTTCTATAAGAATGGTTACCATTCTTATTATTTGGGAGAATTTAAACATTTTCACTCATTTTTGCACTTTGAATCATTAATAACTTCACCAATTTATAACATATTGTGAATCTTTTGTGGGAGATATTGTATTTGATATTGTAAGGAGTAGATTGGTAGGTCAATTATCCATGTTGCTTGTAATTTTTTCACCCCCTATAGATCAGATTCTGCCTTTAAGAATTACTCAAGAGTATAATCAAACATGTATCCAGAATTTATTTTTGACTTGGCCTATTTAGGTCTCCATTGTACATGTTTGTGTTGTACAGTAATGTTTGACATATCATTATGTATATCAAGCTTTAAATTGCTATATGTTGTGTGTTGTTATATTCACAATAAATTGTGATCGCCATGGAAATGTTTGTATTTGATTAGTTTTGAGATTTTACTATGTCACATCAAATAAAGTGGTGACATTAAGCAACTGTTTTCGTGATTGGATCTTAGAATTAGCATTCCCGCGTTAGCATTGCACAATGTGTCTAAAGATAATAGTTGTTGTTTTATAATTGCAATCAAGTGGTGAATGTGTCAGTTCTGTAGTTTTTAAGTATGTCTTTTGTATATTTGCTTAGTAATCTTCGACTCGATAAAGAAGAATTATCAAAGCTCATCAAGAATGGAAAATCGTTCAAAGGTACATGTACGAGTACAAGAACCTCTATGTCTGGCATGAGTACTCAGGTATCTTCAACTATTTTGATGTTATGAGTATTGGCAATCATTTTATTTAAAATTTATTCTTCAACATGCTTTGTAATGACTTGAGTATGAATGAAATGTCCCTTGGCCTTATGGTCTTTGGCTATGATATTGGTACGAATATGGTGGGCGAGGGGTCACAAGTTTCTTTTAAGGTTAGATTATCATTTTGGATAGGCTGAGTTTGTTTCCCTTATGACTGGTGTACTCTTCTTAAGGTGTTTCCTTTTTCTTGTTGTGTTTTGTTACCATCGTTTGTACTTTCCCGTTGGAGTTTGGAGACATAACTTGGGGAAAAATCCTAAAGGACACAACTATCCGCATGGTCTAGAGATATCCATGATCTCCGATATAAATAAGGGTTATGTAATGGGAGGTTTTGGATATGGGGTTTATCCAGAGGGAGATATGCATATCTACCTGAGGGACCATAGGGACCGAAGGTAGATGTGCATATCTCACGAGGGATGAACCCAATATCCAAACCGACCGTACATAACTGCTTTATCCTATACCAAGTAGAGTTTTCAGGGGCATATGGCCATTTCAATAGTACAACAAGGTGTAAAAATAAACAAATCATTCATATGCAAAGTCATTTTATTGCATTACCGGAAGCGGGAAGATATGCACCGGAAGCGGGAAGATATGCATCGAAGCGGGAGATATGGAGGTTCAGGATACGTGATATATCTTACCAACTTATCTCCCTAAAACTCTACTTGGCATAGGATAAATGTCATTATTTGGCTACAATATCCTACATGCTTATTTGACAGGTGCTTTTAAATGAGGATATTATTTATTAGATAAAGATCATATATTAGACTAAGAATAAGATTCACTGAAGTATTGTATTACAATTTTATTGTATGTATATAAAAACGTTTCTCAGTGCAAATACAAATTCCAATACAATTATTTGCTTACTATTAAATAAATAAGTTTCATTTCTATAGACATTTTAAGACCTTGCACAATCTAGCAAATCGTAGTTCACCTTAGTTTAGCACATTTTATAATTGAAAAAAAGGAAATAAGATATTTATTGGCTCATGTTTGAACTGTTCATACCAATATCAAATCTCAAAGAACCACATATGCTATGCTAAGTGATAATCAAATGGTAGTCATATCTTTGATTTTTGGTTTTCAGTTAGCTAGAACTGCCCAGGTTACAATTCTTTAGTTGGCATGAAGAAGATATTTCTTAAAATATAAAACGATATTCATGCAGCATTCACCCTTTTAGCCAATTTTAAACAATTTTAACAATTTCTCGAAAACATTGGTCGCAAAATATGTTGCATTATGTACATCACCTGTCAAATTAAATGTCTGCCCAGTTTTGATAAAACCTACGACTAATACATTATTAATGACTATAACTCATTTATATGTATAGTACCTGCCACTATTCCATTCACATTTAAATGAGTTGGTCATAAAATGGTAAGTTAATCCGTTAGCCGACAGTCTTGAACACTGTGATCTAGAGCTCTATTTTCCTTTTTTGGTAGAAAGTTTATAGTAATATACAGTGTATGTGTATCTGTAAATGCCACCCAGCTGAGTTGTAAGTCAGGTTTGCCTGCTTGCATATGGATGCCTGGAACAGTTATTTTCGTTTAGTCCTTTATTGTTTGTAGCAGTCTCTTTCTGAACCTGTAAAACAAGTTACTTCTTGTACTCATAAATACAGTATATGCACTGGTGTTCTACCAAAAGAGCGGTCATTTTAAGCAAAATATAGAAAAGCAAATATAGAAATAGTGATAAAATAGTACAAAGACCAATACTACCTGTTTCTATTCTTGTTCAGTATATTGCATGCTTAAACTTCTGATATAGGAAGTAATGGCATCTAAATGAGCAGGACTGACCTATACAGAAACACAAATGTCATGTAAAATATTGATAACAAGGAGTTCAGTTGTCATAATGGCACCAGTTAATCAAGATAGGGTATTGAGAATGTATAATATATTACAATTTGCTAAATGCAAATAACTAGTTTAATATTATGTAAAATTCAAGGAAACGGATGTGGCATTTGAGCTAAATCATAGAATAGTTCATAACATTGGTTCCACATGTTTGATTCGGTGTGGTGCCATGATCCTCATCTTGGTAATTAAATATTATGAAAAATGTACCTCATCCGCCGATCTCTTCATTTCCATTATTTTATCTGCTTGCTCTTCAATCTGTACATAGAAATGATAAAGAAGAATATTAGATATTAGCAAATAAAAAAATGAATTACATTATTCAACTTAAGCTACATTATTCAACTTGGACATTTCGTGTTCCAATTATTATTCTTTCGTCATTATATGTTGACTAAATTATCAACATGGCATATACATATTCAACCTGATAGCAGATGAAAATATCTTGAAACTCTGAATTTAGAATAGTTTGAAAAGATTTATATTTCTGCATGTGGTTCTTAGTAATTTTTCGTAATTACCTTAGTGTAAAGTACAAAATGATAACTTATATGAAACATATTATAATAATTAATTTGTACTCGTACTTTTCTCTCAGCCTCCTCACTTTCCCTTCTCAGTGCTGTGATCACGCCCTGGGCTTCAAACAGATCCTTCTTCAGTTGCTGACTCTCTCGTGCCATTTTCTCGACCTATGAAGATAATACACAGGCATGTCATCCACTTATCTTGTTCATTTAATGCATTTTACTATTTCTCATCTGATAAATAACTCTTGATAGAAATAGATTTGGCAGGGAAGGCCAGATCAAAATACATCTCCCCTTACAGCATTAATTATAACTACATGAAATTAAGTAAGTAATAAAAAATCTACAAAATTAAATAAAGAAATCTCAATTTAAAAAGCACATCCCCTTCTAATGTTATAATCCATTTCTTGTGTATTTACCAGTTCTTCATTCTCCTTTGAGTCGCTGATCTTATTCATCAAACTCTGTATCTACAAGAATAATTATCAGAGTGTTAGAGATATTTCGCAGACGCACTTATAGCCTTATGTTTACAACGAATAAGGTGTGCGTGCTACGTCATCATTTGGTGTGCAGTTTTATTCATCTACAGGGTGTCCAAAAAAAACAGGACCGTAAGAAAGTTGAATTACTCGGTCAATTTTGCATATTTTGCCTTGAAATTTAAGAATTATTTAGTTCATTCAATGAGAATTTCGTTCTGAAAGTTTGATGATAATCTGTTTATTGTGTCAAAAACTACAGTCCTTTACAAAACATGCTCAAAGTGGGCACTTCTCTCTATGCACAAACGAATCCTGCGAACAAAGTTGTTAATGACCCTTACCTATACACATTAATGTGGATGGTAAATATTGGGGTAGTTATTGCCCTCTTAAGATTGTTAGGGGCCTGTCAGTATACACATCGGCTTTGAGAAATCCTCAAAGATAAAAATTTGGGGGGTTTAGATCAGGCGAATGAGCTGCCCATATGGTTTGCATTCTGCAACTGATGAGCTGACCACCAAAGCATTGCCTAAACCATTTCAGCATATCATTTGCAGTGTTGGGGTGGTATTGGCTTGTTGAAACCACTGCTTAATTATCTCCTTAGATGTCCCTTTTGGTGCTTAGTGACCTCCAAAACTTGGTGAGAACTTACTGGTCCTTGTTCATGATGATAGCAAGTCCCCAGTCACCTTCGAACCAAAAGGGACTGATGATTCCATGTTTCCTCATTGCCACCCAGGGAGTGCATTGTTCAGAATGCAATGGATGCTGTAACACTTCATCAGGAGGATGTAAGCCCCAGTAGCAATTGTTCTTGGAACAAACTTGTTAATTCAGAAAGACATGTGTGTAGGAGGGATCATCAACAGCTTTGTTCGCCGGATTGAATTGTGCATAGAGATGAGATTTGCACATTTGGGGCATGTTTTGTTAGGAGCTGTAGTTTTTGACTCAATCAGTAGATTATTATCAAACTTTCACAACACAATTCACACTGAATGAACTAAATAATTTTGAAATTTCAAGGCAAAATATGCAAAATTGACCGAGTTATTCAACTTTCTTACGGTCCTGTTTTTTTTGGACACCCTGTATAAGGAGTAACGTCATCAAGTTAGTAAATATTTATCTCGTTTAAGCATAGTTCTTGGTGGCGAATCATGGTGATACTTGGCATGGAGATATATTAGCCTAATATCCGATCCACCTTATAAACAGGAAATTTGGAGGAGAAAATAATTCATACTTGGTGAAGAATATTTGAATTGATCTAAGAAATATACAATTCTATAAGTTTACGTACAGATGATTAATGTATAACTTATGAAGCGTTTGATAACGTACATAAGTGTGATATTCTTACGTAGACGACGATTTATAAGACTGGAGAGGTTAAGCTTTGCATATATAATCGAAACTGAACCTGTACGTATCACTCGACCATATACAAATTCATGTAGCCTTCTCATATAAATAGCCGTTCAAATCCAGTGTTTGTTTAGACTACACCATAGCGTGTAATGATTCTATAGTATGTCATTGATGCGGTTTTATAGCTGGTTTTCTAATACATATTGTCGCGCCTGGGCCGTCTCACCGAGCACCCTGTATACTGGGGAAAGGCCTGGGACGACGAAAAGGGATCTTTGGAGGTGTTTCAAGGGTGTCGACCTGGTTTGGTGGTACGACAGTTACCAATAGAAGATGGCTCCACAAAACAATTATGTACAGGGTTTTTATAATCTATTCTAACATAAGTTTTTACAATATAATAACAAAATGTCCATATAATATACAAGTTTCTCTTCAAGAGTCGTCTCTGCTCTGGAGCTTGTTTAGCACTAAGAGTCACTGCGTCTCTCTATGTTCTCCTCCTGTAGTTTGTTCAGCTCTAGGAGTCACTACGTCTCTTAATCTTCTGTATGGAGTTTGTTCAGCTTAAGGAGCAACCTCAGCTCCGGGAGTCACTTCGTCTCTGGGGAAACCACGCAAACTCTCTCTCTTGGAAGAGTACCAGCCTCTAGAGCACTCTCTGCTTGGGAGTCGCCACTTCTCGGGAAAATCCTCTGCTCTTGAACGAGATTCACACGCTCGGAGTATCTTAGCTCGGAGTCGTCTCGTCTTAAGAGAACAATGCAAACTCTGTGTCTCTTGGAGCACCTCAGTTCCGGTAGTGTAACTATGGCTCCAATCACAACTCTGTCTCTTGGAAGGGGTCCAGGCTCTGGAGCAACCTCTGCTCGGGAGTCGCCACTTCTCGATAAAAACCTCTGCTCTTGAATGATTCACACGCTCGGAGTATCTTAGCTCGGAGTCGTCTCGTCTCAAGAGAAATCAACGCAAACTCTGTCTCTGGAAGGGGTCCAGGCTCTGGAGCAACCTCTGCTCGGGAGTCGCCACTTCTCGATAAAAACCTCTGCTCTTGAACGATTCACACGCTCGGAGTATCTTAGCTCGGAGTCGTCTCGTCTCAAGAGAAATCAACGCAAACTCTGTCTCTGGAAGGGGTCCAGGCTCTGGAGCACTCTGCTCGGGAGTCGCCACTTCACAGGAGAAACCTCGTCACCCTCTACAGAGAAATAACACCTCTGGAATGTCAATCAGATGATGAGATTAGACCAGAGCTGCTACTTCTCGATCTCGGAGTACCTTAGTTCCGGTGGAGTAACCTTGGCTCCAATGGAATAAACCTTGCAACACAGAAATACCTTGGTTCCGGTAGTGTAACCTCAGTATCTAACTTCTGGAGGAGTCAAATCACCTCGGAGGGTACATCAAGTTCAGCAACTTGTATCAATTTCGGATCATCAATAACTCGGAGGAGGAGAAGAAGCAACTCACGAATATCGATCATTAAACTGAGATTAGACGGAGTTGTATTCTCAACCCTCGGAGCAGATTCCACTCTAGAATAGATAGAGGAGTAAGCACTCGGAGCTGGCAATCCTCGGAGTAGGTATGGCTCTCAACTAGATGGAGGAGTAATCGCTCGGAGCTGGCAATCCTCGGAGCAGATACAACTCTCGAATATCAATCACAACGGAGATTAGACAGAGCTGTAACTACTCGGACCAAATATAACTCAGAGGAGATATAACTTAAATAATTGGAGGAGTAATCACTCGGAGCTGGCAATTCTCGGAGCCAATGGAGGAGTAATGACTCGGAGCAGTGAGTCCTCGGAGCAGATATGACTCTTGAATATCAATCAAACTGAGATTAGACAAGAGCCATAATTACTCGGAGCTGGCAATTCTCGGAGCCAATGGAGGAGTAATGACTCGGAGCAGTGAGTCCTCGGAGCAGATATGACTCTTGAATATCAATCAAACTGAGATTAGACAAGAGATGTACCTACTCAGAGCCAATGTAACTCGGAGGAAATATTGTTCTTAAAATGGTTGGAGGGGTAATAACTCGGAGCAGTGACCTCTCGAAGCAGACGCGACTCTCGAATATCAATCAAACTGAGATTAGACAAGAGTTGTAACTACTCAGAGAAGGAATCACTCCTTAAGATGGCGTCACTTCCGTAAAAATAAAGATGGCCGACCGCAGGGAACTCTGGGAAGAAGAAATCAAAATGGCGGACGGCAATATGGCGTCAAACTCAATAATCAAATTGCCAACTCACCCAAAACCGGCTGTTATCTTCTTGTATCTCGCACAGTCACAACGGACGCAAAACTGCAGCAAATAATGTCAGCAAATAATCCAAATAAACTGTAGATTGTCCAATATAGCTCTCAATTCAAATCCACCACGCTCTCACATAAAACGATACAAACTGACGAGGTGTTTCCTCTGCAAAGTCTTGGTTTACTCTGATTTACAGGTCACGATCTCACGCTAAAGTCAAGACATCTCAGGTTGCATCATGGGAAAATACAACATAAGTTGGCGGTAAATTCAAATGAAGCCATCTGATTGGTTGAGCTCTGTTGCTGAGTGCCTAATTATGCAAATTTATTCCAAGGCCGTCGGCTGATTCAGTAAACATCCAAGTGCCTAGATGAGATTCTGCACGTAGACACTTTACAATACAATTCTTTAATTACAGTGGACAGAACATGAAATAAAGATGAAATAACATAAAACCCAGTAAAATAAACGTTTCACAAACCCTAGTACTACTCAGGGGGAATTAAAAATTCCCACAATATTTTAAACGAGCTCGTTTCGTAAGATTTTTGGCGCTAAATCATGCATGACATACATCATCGTGTTCAGCAAGAATTCAACTGTGCATCGAAATCAAAATTGACAGCATAGTGTTCAATAGACACGAGTAAAATGGTTCCCGTTGACCCAACGTCAAATATTCAAATCTCTCGTTCTAAACCCGAAACTCTGAAGCTGAAAGAGTATCTGAAGTAGACTAAGCGCGCATAAAACTATGAGCGCTCGATACATTCCTTTGTTAATTTTTGTACTTTGCGTTCACGGTTACGTTGTGAAAAACATCGTTAGCTTAACCTCTCCAATATCAACTTATGGACGTATAGAGCTACGCAATAAATGATGACATAATCAAACGCTTCATAAGTTATACGTTATACTGATAATTAACAAGCTATAAGTGAGTTGCGAAATCTCTCTATTAAGAAAAACTGTTGACTTCATTTTGAGATGAAGGGTTGCATATTTACGTATAATAAAATAAAATCGTATAATAATCGTGTGATAATGTAACACCTGATAAGATAATATGCCTGGAATTTCCAAGAATTATTTAATGTTCATATACTTTTCATATTTTGTTGAATATTTACTCTATAGTAGGCCTACTAGTTTTGTTTAAAATTACTCACCACATCGATTTCCGGATGTTCGTCACGAATTTCCTGAAGTTTTCCTTCATTTCCCCCTTTTTCATATGCAACTTTCAAGAGTGCTAGTGATGTTATTTTCCTTTTATCTTTGGATTCATCTACCGTTTTCTCAAGTACTTCGGTGGCTTCTTCGACATCTCCTTTCTGTATCAAGGCATTGCCCAATGTATTCTTTACACCGATGTCCAACCCATCCGTCTCAAGTGCTTGATGCTTCAGGCTGTCAAAGAATGGTTTGCTGATAACGTCATCCTTTATGTATGTATTGCAGAGAATGTACATGATCATTTGTGTTGGTGAGCTGTTTATTTTTGAACTGAGTTCGTTCGCTCTTTTCATGCACTCCTTCGCTGCGCTTGTGTCGTTCATCAGAATGTTGGCCATTGCTTTATTCAAGTCAGAGGCTTCGTACAGATTTGCATATTTTAGAGATCTTAGCACATCTTTGCCTTCTTCTTCTACATCATCAGCTCTCAAGGTTTCACCATCTACATCTCCACTCACATCCCCTAAAGACATCAGGACATCATCTTCTTCGGGTCTTGCTTCTTCCATAACATTTACCAATGGGATAGCCGTCAGGAAGTAGCGTAGAATGAGTTGCTTACTAAAAATCTTTTTATCAATACCCTTTCCAACAAGGATATCTGGTAGAAAGTGGCCCTTGTCTTCATCCACTTGACCATTGTTTTGGGCGTAACATCTCAAGCGTAGTTCAGCGGCCGTTGATAACGTCATCTTCAAATGATGTGTGTTCTCCTTGTTCACTCCAGAGAGTTTTGTGATTTCCCATACGCAGGTCGTGTTGCTTTTCAAAAGGTGAAGAAGGTTATTGATGACCACACTTGGGAGACGATAAAGTTCTTTTTTCACGTGAAACGAATCCTTTTCGATGATTTCCTTTTTGTATTTTGCATCGTATATCTTCTTTATACAGGAATGTTTCACGAAATCCTCGTTCAACTCTTTCTTTATCAGCTTTAAAACCATTTTCCTTTGTTTAGATTTTTCCTTGAAGCACTTCTTTAACTCCATCTCGATGGATTCATCCCCAAATAACGTTGTAAAATCTCCTTTGAAGACAAATAAGAACTTCTTCATCGTTGCATCAGTTTCTATTGTCTTGAATTGCTTCATGAACGCTGCCTTGGTGTTTGTCAGGCGGAACTGTATGTCCTCGGGATATGTCGAGAAAGTAAAGTACGGTGTTTTATTCGCTCTTGGCATCAGACCATCGAATGATATTCCTTGTTTGACTTTTGCATATTTTCTGAAATCTAAGTACCAATCCTTTGTTGGATCATTCAGGTCAGACTCATTCAACGAAGTTATGTCCATAGCAGGGAGAACCGTTTCACCAAATGAAAGTAACTTTAGATGCAAAGTCATGAGAAGATGTTCCAAACATTTCCTGTACATCGGATCCATATCGGGATTGTCTGAATTCTGAACTGCCCCAAATTCTACATCTGAATATGGCGTCGTCTCTTTTCTCGATAGTGAACCAAATGCTATGAAGGCGAAGTCAGTTTTATGAAAATTGAGCAAATCCTGACATTGGGTAATTAAGGTAGCCATAAAGTATTTCATTTCATTCTGGATCCATTCAAATATTTCGCCATTTTTGCGTATACGGGCTGCTTCACGAATTACCCGTTCTTCTTTATCAAGCCCCTGTTCATAACAATTGTACAAATGTGGTTTGTCATCTACGGACAAGATCTTTTGTTGAAGTTTAGATCTTATATCTTGCAGCTTCTCTTTGTTAGCCCGGTCATCTTCAAAATATTTATCCGGCATAGGTGTATCTTTCTCGGTACACTGCTGAAAGAAGTCGTCCAGTGTTTGTCTCTTTTCCCTTTGCAACTTCAACGCTTCATCTCTCATGCTGTCATTGTAAATGTCTGATCTCGCATCCATCTCATCATCTATGTCTTGACAGTGAACCAAAGCACATTCATAGATTGCAATCGATTTCACAAATTCAATTGGGTTTTTAAGGTTCCCCATTTCACGATGAATGTTACCTATTTGTCGTAGAAGCTCAACATGCTTCCTATTCCCATCTTTCCATTCCTTCTTTGGATCGTGTGAGCTTTCTTTATGGCCAGCATGATGTTTGTTTACCATTCTTAAATTTTGCAATTTCATTGCTAATTCATTTTCCTGTTTACATAGGTTTTTGTAATGCTCATCGACATATAAACATATCTTTTTGATGATCTCATCGTATGTTAGCCCCATCGTTGTTATATTTTTCAAAAGCTGCAATTAGAGGACATTATTCATTCAGGTGCCCCTACCAGCATGCTGCATGTAATATTCAAAACAAGGTATACAAATGACAGAATTGTCACCACCTGCCTGTTCATAGTGACACAATTAATGCCTAAATGAGAGTTCACTAACTTCTTGTTATGGTAACCAAAAATTGCCCAAAACCTGTTACACGCCTATAAGGGATACCTTTAGGAAGTTATGAATTAGAAAGGTAAACAAACTTTCTAACAAATTTTACACTGATATTAGCCACAAATAAAACTACCTCAAATAATCGTACAAGACTGATATCTGCAGTCTGTAGAGACGTAAAGGGTAGAATGTTCGTAAAACTCTTATTTTTATCTCTATATACTTGTACTAGTAGATTGTCGCATCCCCTGTGAAAATATTTGAAAGTATTGACCCTCTTGCCTTATAATAAAAGCTATACCAACATGAAATTAAGAACGTTCATCAAGATATAATGTTTATGATTTGTACTTGAAACGGCGTTCTTATTTCACTTACGTTATCCAATTCTGACCACATTTTATCTTCCTCTTGTCGCTTCTTGTCTTCCTTAATTCTCCTGCCATCTTCTTCCTTTCGTAATTTATCCTCCGCTTTTCTCCTTTCAACTATGGCATATTCTATTTGATCAGGTATAATAACTTCCTTAGCTTTGCCGAAGCAGGATATCGCCTGACTTCTCTGAAATGAACGAACCAAAAATAATTGATCAATAAAGAAATGAAAAGTCAAAATAAGTCTCGATGGCTGCAGTTGTATTAAGATTCCGTTTACCTCATCTTGTTTTGACTTTGGTTTGGGTTGATCCTCTTCGAACCTTTTTTCATCTTCCCTTACTCTTCTTTTCTGTTCCTTCTTTCGTCTGTCATCTTCAAACGCCCGTCTTGTATAGGCATCAGCCTTTATTTTGTTCAATAGTTTGTTGACATCAGGGATGCCTATAACGTTGACCTAAAATAAACAATGGACAGCTTTTGTCTCATTTTCTGAATTTATTAACGACGAAGAAATTATGAATTATTACATAATTATTGCAATTCTTTTTCTTAAATTACGGCATTATTGCGGCGTTTATTTGTGAAATAATAACCAACGCCAGTATATTTTTGTGTCATTTATTCGCATTAACAAAATAGCAATGATTTTCATTCTATATTCTTTATTCTAAATCTTTAATGTTTTGTGGTTATCGAAAGCCGAACATTTCTTATGACAATTCCTAATTAACTTATACTTGGTATATACACAACTAAACCAATTCCCAATGGAGAGTTATACACGATTTTTTTATTATTAGAGTCACCTCCCCTCCCCACGTTTTCCTTATTTCAGTTGTATCTATGATTCATTGAAGCCCAGACACTTTTCCATCATCTTGTTGCTTGTTAATTTACTCAGATAGCAATCATTTTAACAATCTCCGACCCCTCTATATGATTCAGACTTACCGTGGCTGACGCAGGGCCCTCTATTACGTTTTTTGGGACGGACCGTGGTGTGGCAGGAGCAACATTCTAAAGTAAATGAACGAAATGAAAAGAATATGCCAGAGAGGATTTAGCCAATAATATTAAAGTTTACGATACACACGAAATAAAAACATAAGGATACCTTGTTAAAAACATAGTAAATCAAGTATTCATTGTTTGACTGTATTTCATTTGTATTTTTAATAAGCACATGTATAAGATAAACATTGTACGTACACTTTTACTTCATGAATTATTGTGTCTGTATTTTTGTACCTGTACAAATATACTTTTTAATTAATTATTTTGTAACGGTAAATTCACCTTTATGCCCTTTATTGACATCGTTAACCCACCATGTACAACACTTATTCAGTAAATGATAAATGAAAGGATATATGATTTGGCAATATATTATACAAGGTATTACTACAGAGAGGTGCCTCCTGTCATGTGAATTAACACTAAGAGATAAAATTTTCTCGGCTTATCTTATGAAAAGCATAAGAATAATGAATACGAACTTTGCGTCAACTTTGTGTTGTAAGATAAAGTTTCACATTTAACTTTTATGTGAAGTTCAACCCTGACGGTTAGAAAAGATTATGTGGACTATTAACCCGTCCAAATGTAGGAGCGGTGCACTTACAGGGGTTGTGTCCATATCCCCCTTTTTAACAGATGTGAATTCACTTGGAGCACCATTCTGAAATGGAATAATCTTGATTTACATTATTTAATATACAAATTGAGTCAGCGTGATGACATACCTGAAATCTACATGTTAAAGTTCATCTAAATATGTGATTTCAAAAGTTGTTTATTCAACTTTGAAAATGTGACTTCTTGTTCGGGGGAAATTCCTCATAGACTCCATGTTATAAAATCACAAAAAGTGAATCTTTTTTCGATTGGACAGATTTTAATATTTTCTTTTAACCGGACATATTTTAATTAATATAACAAAAGATACGTAAGGTGATATGAAAATTGAACCACTAAAATTGATGAATATTAAAGTTTAACGGAACTTTGAATTTGTAATACCCTGCAATGCTATCTGACCCGAGTGATCCACCTGGTGGTGAAACTGGTAGCGACCTACTCACATCTGCGTTATTGACTGAAGCACAACCCTCATAAAAACTACTTACCGAAGCTGTTTCAGTATCTCCTCTTTTAACAGATGTTGATTCATCTGAAGCAGCATTCTGAAATGGATGAAAATATGTGTAATACTGAAATATCCTCCCAGAATAAAAGGGTGCATTATCTGTCCTATATCCCCAAATGCAAACTATATAAAAAATGTAAACTGACCTCCCATAAAATGAAAGAGAACACTTACAAGGACATTATTGGAAGATGATGATTTACGTGGCGCAACATTCTGAAATTGATGGTAGGTGGTATAGAAAATACAATATTTAGGATATTGAGTGAGTTATAGAATGTCTTGAACTTGAAAGCATCATAACAGAATGTCACAGCCCTGGAGGTACGATTTTCGTTTCCATGTTTTCAAAATATTAACGACCTTTTTGGCACAAACGTGTGTCAGCATCATATGTTTAAATATCCATAATCATTTGCGAATGAATGTTTCACGAGACGCCAGATTGATCAAAATATTGAGTCATGGACTGAATCCCTTAATGATAATTATTTTGCCAAAAAACATTAATATTTTAGTTTCTGCTTGAAATCTCATCATATTTGTAAGTGAAGTGAAGTGAATTGATTATAAAATATTACATAGTTTCAAAATAAAGTTGAGAAAATAGAATAAATAAATGTCTCATAGATTTTCAAAAAGATAAACCTACCTTGTCACTCAGTAACCCTCTTTGTACTGCAATGCATTCAAAACCACATTCCGGGAAGTTAAAATATCCTCTTTGATCTCTTAAACATTTTGGGCAACACGCGTGTTTGCAACGCAGTCCTTTTGGATATATCAAAAGGCTTCTACACAAGGAACATGTAGGTCCAGACTTAAAATGTCGCGTAGACGACATTGCTTTTAGTGATCTTTGTTCTGCACCTTCAATGTGTTCTTAGTGATTTAAGTATTGACTTCATAACAAGTCAATACTAAGTCTCAAGAAAAACATATATTAATCATAATAAAACATACAATTTGCTGATAGTGCCACTGTAAACATAATTTAGAATTTATCTCAATTATGATTTTTGGCGCTTCGAGATAAGAAAATAATTTATTATTCAAATCCCTTTTTCAAATTTACATAATCGTCAAAACATCAAGTCGAAGCGATAACGTATAGTTTACTCTTATTATGATCAACGTTCACCTCAAAAGTGTTAACGATTCAATAAAAGTCGAGTATTTTCTTATCAATAAACCTGGTGCGAACTAGGAATATAGAATTATTAACGTCTAGAACTCATTATTTACTATTAAAGTCCCCGTCTAAAGTTTGAAAATGTTTTTTATCATTCATTTACTATTTGTTATGACTTAAAAAGTTATTTTAGAGATTTTTTTGAAAAAAAGTTGTGAGCATTTCATTTCTCAAATATTCAAATTTCCCGCCATTTTTCAAAAAAAGTTGAGATTCTTTAATCATTAAATATTTCTTAATGCATTTCAAAAAAATATTATCTTTTAAACACCAATGCAAAGATTGAAAAAGGGACACACCTTTTTCAATAATAAAATGCCATATTTAATGGGCCACCTCAATGTTTTAGCATATCAAAAATAGTTTGCAACAGTGATGTCACTCAGGTGGCAAAAACTTTTTTTCGATGTCAATCTTTTCTAAATATGGTAGACTGATTGTCTAACTAGGTTAAAAGGAAGAATATATTACGTTTTAGATAACACTGTACTATTGGTTTCTATGAGAACTAAAATTTTGAAATGCATTTTTCTCGGAACCATATTTCATGCACTGATGAGTTCATTTCTCGCTTATTTACGAACAGATTTTCTTAATTTTTTCAGCAAAAAAACATGCGAGGATGAATGCTATGCATTGGTATTAATTGTGGCTAATTAAAATATATGCATGACCTTTAAAAATTAGTTTTAAATAAATTCACAAATGTTTGAACAAAAAGTCCTTCAAAAACCACTTTTTGAAATTTAAAAAAAAGTTTTACATATGACACTTTGATAACATTGGGTAAGACTACAATATAAGCCAAAGTGGTTTAAACTTTCTATGGGGACTTTAAATAGATTTAACATACACTATTGTTCAAAGGTATGGTATATTGAGTAAAAATTGGTGTACGTTGACCATTTATTAAAAACTTAACAATATTACAAAACTTCCGTTCTCAAATATCAAACATTTCCACAGTAATAATCCAAAAACTATCAAAAGCTCTCTCTTTACATTTTTAAATAACCAATCGCTTTGACGTAATATCTATTTAACAAAATTGATGAATTTCCTTGATTCGAATTCGGTAGGAGTTTTCTCAATTTAAACCAAATTATATGTCGAGTTTCATATTAGAATTTGGCACAAAGTTAGGCAATATAACAAAGCTTATATAATGTATGCATTACGATTTTGTTTACAAGATAAATTCCAAACCGAAGGCATTTTATCTAACTTTTTGCCAAATCATGATCTGCAACTTGCAATTTATAAATGTAAAGGTCAATGTAATGATTATTATCAGTTTATTTTATCTCATCAATCCATCACATACAATATGCCAGATACATGTATATAAAGTAAATGTATTGATTATTATCAGTTTATTTTATCTCATCAATCCATCCCGTACAATATGCCAGATAATTATATGACTCAATGTAATGATTATGATCAGTTTATTTTATCTCATCAATCCATCCCGTACAATATGCCAGATAATTATATGATTCAATGTATTGATTATCATCAGTTTATTTTATCTCATCAATCCATCACGTACAATATGCCAGATAATTATATGATTCAATGTATTGATTATTATCAGTTTATTTTATCTCATCAATCCATCCCGTACAATATGCCAGGTAATTATATGATTCAATGTAATGATTATTATCACTTTATTTTATCTCATCAATCCATCCCGTACAATATGCCAGATAATTATATGATTCAATGTATTGATTATTATCAGTTTATTTTATCTCATCAATCCATCCCGTACAATATGCCAGATAAATGTAAAAGTAAATGTATTGATTATTATCAGTTTATTTTATCTCATCAATCCATCCCGTACAATATGCCAGATAAATGTATAAGTAAATGCATTGATTATTATCAGTTTATTTTATCTCATCAATCCATCCCGTACAATATGCCAGATAAATGTAAAAGTAAATGTATTGATTATTATCAGTTTATTTTATCTCATCAATCCATCCCGTACAATATGCCAGATAAATGTAAAAGTAAATGTATTGATTATTATCAGTTTATTTTATCTCATCAATCCATCCCGTACAATATGCCAGATAAATGTATAAGTAAATGTATTGATTATTATTAGTTTATTTTGTTACATCAATCCATCCCGTACAATATGCCAGATAAATGTAAAAGTAAATGTATTGATTATTATTAGTTTATTCTATCTCATTAATTCATCCCGTACAATATGCCAGATAAATGTATAAGTAAATGTATTGATTATTATTAGTTTATTTTGTTACATCAATCCATCCCGTACAATATGCCAGATAAATGTAAAAGTAAATGTATTGATTATTATTAGTTTATTCTATCTCATTAATTCATCCCGTACAATATGCCAGATAAATGTATAAGTCAATGTAATGATTATTATCAGTTTATTTTATCTCATCAATCCATCCCGTACAATATGCCAGATAAATGTATAAGTAAATGTATTGATTTTTATCAGTTTATTTTATCTCATCAATCCATCTCGTACAATATGCCAGATAAATGTAAAAGTAAATGTATTGATTATTATCAGTTTATTTTATCTCATCAATCCATCACATACAATATGCCGGATACATGTATATTAAGTAAATGTATTGATTATTATTAGTTTATTTTATTTCGACAATCCATCCCGTACAATTTGCCAGATAATTATATGATTCAATGTATTGATTATTATCAATTTATTTTATCTCATCAATTAATCCCGTACAATATGTCAGATAATTATATGATTCAATGTATTGATTATTATCAGTTTATTTTATCTCATCAATCCATCCCGTACAATATGCCAGATAATTATATGATTCAATGTATTGATTATTATCAGTTTATTTTATCTCATCAATCCATCACGTACAATATGCCAGGTAAATGTATAAGAAAATGTATTGATTATTATTAGTTTATTTTGTTTCATCAATCCATCACGTACAATATGCCAGGTAAATGTATAAGTAAATGTATTGATTATTATTAGTTTATTTTATTTCATCAATCCATCCCGTACAATATGCCAGGTAAATGTATAAGTAAATGTATTGATTATTATTAGTTTATTCTGTTACATCAATCCATCTCGTTTAATATGCCAGATAAATGTAAAAGTAAATGTATTGATTATTATCAGTTTATTTTATCTCATCAATCCATCCCGTACAATATGCCAGATAAATGTAAAAGTAAATGTATAAGTAAATGTATTGATTATTATTAGTTTATTCTGTTACATCAATCCATCCCGTACAATATGCCAGATAAATGTATAAGTAAATGTATTGATTATTATTAGTTTATTTTGTTACATCAATCCATCCCGTACAATATGCCAGATAAATGTATAAGTAAATGTATTGATTATTATTCGTTTATTCTATTTTATACTATTGTCTTTGTCATGTGCCATATTGATAGCATATAATTGTTTACATATAACAAGCCTGTTTGGACTTCTTATTCCTATCCTTCTTTGTTAGACATTAGGTTCCCAACATACATTCAATCGTGTAAATGTATAACACTAATGCTCACTAGTTTCCTTGGCATTTGGTTCATTTTTGGTATTTCATTGAATAATGAATAACTGTCCCACTTTTGACAAATTTTAAGAGAGTGTTTTAATAACTTAAGTTATAATTTGAAGGGTATGTCAACCAATCAATTAAATAATCAATAATATGAAGTTTACAATGCTATTTATTGTTCATAAATCTATATACATATACTAACTGTATGTGCAATACAAACAACAACTCATGAAATACAATAAAGTATGACATATGTAGCCACAAACATAGCTGATAATTTTGAACAATTAATCAACAAATAATCAATAATATGAAGTTTACAATGCTATTTATTGTTCATAAATCTATATACATATACTAACTGTATGTGCAATACAAACAACAACTCATGAAATACAATAAAGTATGACATATGTAGCCACAAACATAGCTGATAATTTTGAACAATTAATCAACAAATAATCAATAATATGAAGTTTACAATATTATTTATTGTTCACAAATCTATATACATGTACTAACTGTATGTGCAATACAAAAAAAACATGAAATACAATAAAACTTCCTAAATAAACGGGTTCAATATTTAAAATTTATAGCAACTATATTAATAATGAATAAACCATATCTATTCATACATGCATGTCACATTCTGTACACCACTAATATTATTAATAATAACCGAATTTTCTACTTACTTTTATCACTGCTATCAGTATAAAAACTAAATTTTACTGACAATCACTACTATCAGTGTTATAACTGAATGTTTATGTCGCATTCTATGTTTCACTAATAGCAGTATAATAATAAATGTTTATGTCGCATTCTGAATATCACTAAAATCAGTATAATAACTCAATGATACTGAAAATTGTCTGACTAACTAACGCTTATGTCGCATTCTGAACGTCACTAATAACAGTATAATAATTGAATGTTACTGAACATTGTCTGATTAACTAACGCTTACGTCGCATTCTGAACATCACTAATAACAGTATGATGATAATTGATACAATAAGACCTGAACTTCCAATTGCTATACCAGCCACCAATGGAACACTTAACACTGTTGCCTGAGTTGATACATATTGCAATTGCGTAGATGCGATTTGTTCATCAGCAATAGTTGTTGAATGTTTCATTTGGATGTCACATATATGTCTAATATTAATCGCATTTCCAAAGAGTCCCTGGATTGAAAGGTATGTTTTATTTTCACTTATAACTAATTCTTTTAAGTTATGCCCACCTTTACATATATCAGTTGGTAATTCTTGAAGTTGGTTACCGGTTAGGTGAAGCAGTTCAAGATTAGAAAGGGCAGTGAGAGTGCCAATCTGAATCGTTATGAGCTTATTATCATTTAGATATAGATATTTTAGAGAATACAAATTTCTGAATGTACCGGGCGCAATTTCACTTATTTCATTGAAGGAGAGATAGATTGTTTTCAATGATATTAGGCCTTGAAACATTCCACCTGTCAATTTTGTAAGTTTATTATAACTTAACGATAACGATGTTAATGATTGTAAATTGATAAACGTATCAGGTGCAATCGCATGTATTTCATTGTAGGAAAGATAGATTGACTTTAATTCTACCAGGTCATTAAAAATATCCGCTGTCAAATATGTAAGTCTATTATTAATCAAATATAGATAATTCAATGAACGCAAACTCCTAAATGCACCAGATTTAATCTCTTTTACTTCATTGTAAGAGAGAAAGAGCGAGGTCAACGATACAAGATTTCTGAACATGTTCTCTGTCAATTTTGTAAGTTTATTATACATAACGTAAAACGATGTCATGCTGTGTAAACCACTTAAAGCACCTGTTTGAATCACTACGATGTCATTGTGTTTGATGTCAAGACGTGACAGTGATGTCAGGTTGTCAAACATTCTCTGTGTCACATTTGTAAGATTGTTATAGGATAAATAAAGTCCTTTAAGAAAATGCAAATCATTAAATGTACCAAGTGAAAACTCTTGTATTTTATTAGAGACAAGAAAGAGTACATCCAAGGCATATAAGCCCCTAAAAGCATCCGGCTCAATTTCCAAAATACCGTTGGCACTAAGTTGAAGGACTTTTAATGCTACTAGATCACTGAATACATTATTTGTCAAAATTACCAATAAATTTCTATCTAAATATAATTCTTGCAGTGATTGCAAATCCAAAAATACACCCGACTCTATTTTTGTTATGGCATTGCGTTTTAGGTAAAGCTTTTCCAATGCGGTGAGGTTATTGAACATGCCTTTTGTCAACTTTGGAAGTCTATTACCACTTACATCTAGCACTTTTAATGACTTCAAACCCCTAAAAACACCAAGCGTTAACTCTGATATTTCATTATCAGAAAGTCGAAGGTAAAATAAAGAGGTGAGGTCCTGAAAAATTCCAAGTTTCAATTTTGCAATTTTATTGACTTGCAGATATAACCTTTCCAGTAATGTTAAACCTTCAAATGCACCAGCCTCAATTTCCGAAATGTTATTGTTGTTCAGCGAAAGAATTGTTGCAGTTGTTTCTGTTTTGAACACTTTGTCTGTTATTGTTGTCAGTTGCCTATTTGTCATGTCCAATCGTAGAGCTGTGGTTGAATGCATGATGGCCTGGTGTATGATGAACATCTTAATAAGGACAATCTGAAATAAATGTTTCGGTTACATTCATAGAGAAAAAGAGTTTTCAGATGAATTTACAACGTGATTCAAAACCATAGAATGACGATTTTCAAAAATTCATCAAATTTATCATCAATTTTCGACCTATTGAAATTGAGGAAAAAATTAAGAGAATTTTGAAGTTTTGGAAATAAAGTCAAGTTACGTTTCCATCAATATTATAAGTTATTTCAACGCCGGTTAAGTAAATAAAAATTCAAACGTAAAGAGGCTTTAACACGTAGTTCAATGAGGGAGCTAAGGTTGCCAAAATTATGGAGGGGAGTGTATAAAGACCTATGTCCGCTTACTTTTACAAAGCAGCCTAACTTTGGTCAGTTTTGCTATCTGAAGTAAGTTTGACGTCACAAGCTTGGAAAAAGTCACATCGGTGTTTTGGCATATTCCATGTTCTGTATGTAATATTTTGAGTAAAAATTTATCAATTGTCTCCAAATTTTCACAGAAGGTGTACTATATGCCTTAAATTATGTTTGAAAGATTCTATTAAATTTACTTGCCATTTACAAAGGTTATTTAAGGGTTTACTCAATAGGAAAACACTTTTGATACAGAGGATACGTATATGTATTCTGATTGGTCTATAATGTGCAAAGCTAGAAGACCCGTTATACTCGTTCGTTCTCTATTTTGACTAAGATAATAGAGACCTTAGATATACGGACGACCTGTACGTGTACCTGTAATTACACGTACACGTACAGGTTTTTTAAATGTTCCTTTTGTGCGCCTAAAACAAGTCCTTATACTCGGGGTGGAAAATTTTCTAAGAGGCTCCGTTAAGGAAAAAATGACTTTATGAGCTGGATGGAATTTCTGTGTATTTTTTATTCTATTGGGGTGTCCTGCATAAGTGATTTCGCCTGCGAAGTATATAACTCTTGCGAACACATCTCAATACTGGTCCGAAGAAGACACACCTTGAATTTTTTAGAAAAAATTGGCTAAAAATTGAAATTACAAAAAGTCAAAATGTTTGACTCAAACAAATATGTAGCTATTCTATATCAATATTATGTGTTATGTGATGTTTTTCAGATGTTTCAGGACCTTCATTAGTGTACTTGTGTCAAGAAATATGACATTTAAGGACAAAATTTGGCATTTTTTAATCATTTTCGCTTTCAGCAATAACATATAGTTCCTTATATCTTGAGTTTAATGCTGACTGGTTGTGGCATTTTTGATTAAATCTGTGCTTGTACATGTGTTATTCCATTTAAGGTATAGAAAAAGTATAGTGGACAAACAATGTTTGTATGAGAGCTTTCAGATCTTCCCTACCCCATTTATTATGGAAAATTACCGAAGAAATGAAAAAATAAAATAATTTGAAATTATAAACTTTTACAAAGTTGTAGCTATTCTATATCAATATTATGTATTATTTAATGTCTTTAAGATATTTCAGAACCTTTATCAGTATACAAGTGGCTAGAAATGAGGCATTTATAGACAAAACTTGGCATTTTTTTTTATCATTTTGGCTTTCAGCAGTAATATATAGTTCCTCATATCTTGAGTTTTATGCTGAATAGTTGTTGCATTTTCAATCAAATCTGTTCTTGTAGATGTCTTCTTTCATTTAAGATATAGAAAATGTAAAGTGGACAAACAATGTTCATATTAGAGCTTTCAGATCTCCCCTTCCCCAATTATTATGGAAAATAACCGAAAAATATGAAAAAATAAAATAACATGAAATTATAAACTTTAATAAAGTTGTAGCTGTTCTTTATCAATATTATGTGTTATCTAATGTTTTTAAGCTTTTTCAGAACCTTTATTGCTATTCAAGTGGCTAGAAATGAGACATTTAAGGCATTTTTTTGGCATTTTTTAATCAATGCCGCTTTCAGCAGTAACATATAGTTCCCGATATCTTGAGTTTTATGCTGACTGGTTGATGCAATTTCGATTAAATCTGTTCTTGTACATGTCTTCTTCCATTTAAGGTATAGAAAATGTTTAGTGGACAAACATTGTTCATATCAGAGCTTTCAGATCTCCCCTACCCCATTTATTAAGAAAGATGACCGGAAAATATAAAAATATAACTTCAAATTACCAGTATAAACTTTAACAAAGATGTAACCATTCTTTATGTGTCATTGAATGCTATATTTAATGTGTCAGGACCTTCATTAATATCCTAGTGTCCAGAAATTAGACATTTAAGAACAAAATTTGGCATTTTTCATCATTTCCACTTTCAGCAATAACATATAGTTCCTTATATCTTGAGTTTTATGCCAACTGGCATTTTTGATTAAATATATTCCTGTTCATGTTTTTTTCCATTTAAGGTATAGAAAATGTATAGTAGACAACTAATGTTCAAATTAGAGCTCTCAGATCTCCCCGACCCCATTTATTAGGAAAGATGAGCGGAAAATATTAAAAAATTAAAGAACTTCAAATTATAAACTTTAATAAAAATGTAGCATTCTATATCAATATAATGTGTTATTGAATGTTATATTTAATATTTCTTGAACTTCATAAGTATACTAGTGTTTAGAAATTAGACATTTGAGGACAACATTTGGCATTTCCATCATTTTCGCTTTAAGCAATAACATATAGTTCCTTATATCTTGAGTTTTATGCTGGTTGGTTGGTGGATTCTTGATCAAATCTGTTCTTTTGAAATATAAAAAACAAAACAGTTTCAAATTATAAACTTTAACAAAGTTGTAGCTATTCTAGATCAATACTATGTATTATTTGATATTTTTCAGATGTTTCAGGCACTTCATGAGTAAACAAGTCTAAAAATAGACATTTAAAGTCGAGTTGCAAATGGGGCGGGTATTCTCTAGCTTTGACCATAGGGCTTTTCTGGTAACAATACGTTGCAAACTGCACATGAATCTATATAAATAATATATAATAGTAGTGTCATATAACTAGTGATCAAGCCATATTGGTTGAATTGCTTCATATCAATTGCAATGTTGTCAAAGGCTTGGTGAATCCATATTACACCTAAGGGTGGTGTAATTAGGAAGTTCATGAAGGAAATTGGGCTTGGGGATATTTTGGTAAATGCAAACATTGTGAAATGAAGAACAACCAAGAAGATGATTTTGGAAAGGATTACAAAATGGAAAGTTAATTGTCTTTGGTTTGTGAAGCAATGTTACTGTATCTTTAAAATGGGTTAAATTTCACTTATGATAGTTGCAACTTATAGACAATCTATTAAATACTGATCATGAAAAAGTTGACACTCTCTTTATGGCCCATGGTTACTACAGTGCCGCAGACAAGACAAAGGAATTCAATGTTAAGCGAATTTGTATTCAGTCTGATGATACAGAATGTTGCCTGCAAAAAAGGATGAGAGTTAAAAAGAGCTCTAAAAGTTTCTTATGTCCTTCAAGTTAGCATACTATAAATTACTATGAATCTCAAAGTGCAATACCTTTTTGAAGGTATATCAAAGATGGATGTCTTGTACCAGTACTCACAAAAAAACAAACCCTCGTAACCTGTCCATGTGGCAATGAACAAAACTATAAGTTATTAAATGATTTGAAGTGCAATACAGGATATATTCTGTTCGAGAAATTTTGTATTGGAATGTGACGAAGTCGAGTGCTAATACAGAATATCGAGACGGAATATATCCTGTATTGCACTTCAAATCATTCAATAACGTTTTTATCGTGTGATCCTCTGTATTGCTACTGAGATTGTCCCCTCCTTACCAATATTTTCTGTATTGCGACAGAGATGATCAACGGGGACAACCTCAGTAGTAATACAGATTGGTACAGCACAAGAACTGACCAATCAGAGGGCTTTACAGATCATACGATAAAAGTGCACATTGTTGGACAATATTTTAGGATGAGTTTCTCAGAACTATAAAATTATTTAGAGATCTGAATATATAGCTTGTGGTGTAATGGGCAACTTGGACATTTAAAATGACTTAAATGCAGCTCTAACATAGAACCAGGGAGATTTGAAAAATCAGGCTGTTGCTGGATTAAGTTTGAGAGTTATGAACAATCATGTTAACAACATTGCAGCCATTTTTGTAATTTCTTGACTATGAATGTATTTGAATTCGTGACTATTGAAATGTGGTATTATGACATTGCAGTGCTAAATGTCATAATTTGTACTTGGTTAACATCATGCTGAATAAATTTAACAATTTCCCAAACATTTTGATCATTTAAAGGAAAGAAATATTAATAAAGTAACACTTTAGATCTTTTCATAATTAGAAAAATTGGTACCTGCCCCACCAGCCCCTACCCCCATGTTGTTATAGCAACCATATTAAGACTTACTATAAATGTTTGATGCTGAAACTTCAGGATATAATAGATAAAACTTCAATTGTTATATACACAAAATTTCAGCTGAATTGAAGAATATTAGAGAAAATTAGACCATATAGTGCATTACTTCTGGGACAACCCTCGTATATGATCTAAAATATATCAACTAATCAGCATTCAACTAAAAATATAAACAACTATTGCTGAAAGTGAAAAATTGGTCATATTTCTTCATTCTATTTTTGTTGGTTTTCTTAAATGGTGGAGGGGAGATCTTAGACCTCTAATAAAAATATTAGTTGTCTTACATACATTTTCTATAACTTAAATCAAAGAAGACAGATTCAATAAAAAACATATATCAATCTATCATCAAAGAATTATAATTGTGGAAAATTATATGATACTACTAAAAGCAGAATGCTAAAAATGCCAAATTTTGTCCGTAAACTTTAGACACATGTAATCAAATGAAGGTTACATTAAATAATATCAGTTATCACATGTTTCAGCAGGTGATACAGGAAATATTCCACATAAGGTAATATTGTATCATCCATGAAAGCGAAGCTTGAGTGGTTATACATTGTTACCCGAGTGGAATATTTCCTGTATCACATAAACTGAAATGTGTGATGATGATTTTATCACATGTCTAGGAATTTTGAAGCATTTTGATTTGGTCAGTTATGATTGTGTTCAGTACCCTGT